AGCGAGTCTCGATAAAGAGGTGAGGGGACACCGAACAGGAGTTACTAACTGAACAATGGTGAAGAACTTGAACTTTGTCATCAAAGGGAAGATAAGGACAGGAATAGATCATTCACCCTCTCGAGTCTGCTCTGTTATTCTATTTGATCGTGGTTAATCTGCAACTCAACCTCATTGATCGGCCTTTGCTCCATATCCCTCAATGACAATTCCTTAAAATAAAATCCATGTCAGTCTTAAAAACTTCAATTTTTCTCATTCCAGCAAGCTCCAGTTCCTACTACCCTTTGTGTGCAAAAGGCAAATCGTAATTTTACTTGAATGTAACTCAGCACTAGTTTGAAAATTAGGTCCTTTTTTCATCATTTATCTACCAGACAACCCTATATCTCACTGTCTTTGGCAGGAAGAATAGAAGGGCAGAATATTGTTTCAATGGAGAGTAATTGTAGAGCTCTGACTTAAAGAGGTTCCAGTACATGAATCACATAATTTGCAGTTACAGCAACTGATTCGGAAGTCAAATGGAATATTGCCATTTATTGAAAAAGGAATTGAATCTACAAGTACCACAGCTATACAGGGCATTGGCGAGACCATCTGGAGTATTGTATACAGTTTTGGTCTCCTTATTTAAGCAAGGATACAAGTGCATTGGCAGCAATTCAGATAAGGTTCACTCGATTGATTCCTGGAATGGCAGAGCTATCTTATGAGGAAAGGTTGGTCTTGCATTCATTGGAGTTTAGAAGAATGAAAGGCGATCTTACCAAAACATTTCAGGTCCCAAGGAGACTTGACAGGATGGATACTGAAAAAAACTGTTTCCACTTGTGAGGAAGATCAGTACGAGGAGAATGCAGTTTAAAACCTTTTAAGACAGAAATGCAGGATCTCTTTCTCTCTCAGAGTTTTGTTAGTTTGTTGAATTCTCTTCCATAGAGAGTAGTCGAGATTGCATCATTGAATGTTTTAAAGCTGAGATGGATAGATGCTGGATTGAGAGGAAACATGGCTAATCTTATCAAGTAGCAGAATAGGCTCAAGGGACCGAATGGCCTTCTCCTGTTCCAAATTTGTACGCTCAGATGTCGTCAAGCCATCCAAGTTTTTACAATCTGTCTTCATAACTTAAACCTTTAAACTTTAGTATCATTCTGGTGAATTTGTGTTGAACACCCCTCCAAATGCACTTCCCCTAAGTACCATGCCCAGAATTGAATACAATATTTTAGACAGGATCTGACCATACCTTTATACATCTTGAGGAGTAACTTCCTCCTGTTCATAAATCAGCTTCCTTAACGTTCCATCAAGTTTTTTGATGGCTTTCAAATCTATTGATTAGCTTTCAATACCTTGTTTGGATTCCCAAATCTCTTCACTCCACTAAAGATTACTCACTATTTGGAAAATAAGCTGATTTCTTGAGTCTGAAGTCGATGATCTCATATTTGTCTCACATTGAATTCTGTTTGTTCTGATTTCTCCCCACTCTGTGTGTCTTTGAAGTGCATTGCTTCAATCTTATCATTTTTACTGTCCCTCTTACTTTCACAGCAAGTCAAAATACAAAATGATTGTTTTGATCAGATGTAGAGTTTAATATGTTTAACTTTCTCTATGTTATAATGGAAAATAATGGGTATGCTTTGCCCATGGTTTAAATTAACATCTTTTTGAGTTATATTTCTGCATTTGTCCATGAGGCCAAGTGAAACCGTACTGTCTGAAAGACCTGGCCATCTTTACAGCATTATACCTGACCCTTACTGCTCTGTCCTTGTCAGTGTATACTCCTCCCTGACAGCTAAAAGAGTCAGAGATTTCCCAAATCAATGATTGCCAGGTATTTATTGAATGCTAAGATGGACTCAGAACTTGCAGCCTTTAGGAACGTTATGCCAAATCTCAGCTAACTAGGATGTTCACCTCCTTTCACCTCAGTGCTGGTATTTAATTTTAGAAGTCTTGTACGATGCATATTTCTTTAACACCCCAAAATTTACGTGTTAACTCTTTTTGATTGTTAGACAGTAGAAAAATGCAAGAGGTGGCATGCTTTCTGATGGACGAGATGGTGAGGAACACCTGATTGGAGTGGATTAGACACATAATGACGCTCCTTTGACACTCCCCCCAAATTAGCTCAGCTTTAACTTGAAGAATACTGTCTTTATTCCTTCAGAGTGATAGTTTGCAACAGTCATTTTGCTTGCTCTTTGAGTGAGACAATATTTTGAAGTCATATCATGGCTGATATCTCACTTACAGTGAATGTATTGTAAAATTGTTGCTGTTTTCCTCTGGGTTCCTTGGACAGCCGGCTGCTCCATGCAAGGGCCTTTGCCTTACAATTTTAGTATCAAGTTTGCGCCAAGCCAAGGTTTTGTCTTGATAGTGTATTTGCAACAAGCATGACAGAAAGGGCTGACCTTTATTTTAAACAGGAGAAAACCCATTGCATCCATCTGTCTGTCATTAGAAGGCTGCTTCTCCTCATCTCTATTTACACGTTAATACTTAGGCCCCATTGATATAACAGCAGTCCTCTAACATATCCTATCCTCTTATTCTGTATACTGCATTAATTCACTCCATTCCTCATCTCCTTAAGAAAGCTGCCCTGACAAACTGGTATAGGCAACCACTTCAATGACCATGTATGGCCTCAATAGTTTGATTTCTAAATCCAATCCTAACTGATTTATAAGAGATCTGTGATGTGCAACAAGGTTCATTGATCTCAGCTGGAGCAATGTTTGGGTTGCAACAACTGATGTGTTGTAGAGGGAAGAAATCAACTTGATTACCAGTCACTATCCAATGATTCTTGCTAGCAGTGATTATAAACCTCAAGATTATAAACCAAGTTGAATAGCCTAAGGATACTTGCTAAGCCTTAGATATGAAAGACTTGGATGAGGTCCTAGAAAAGAGCAGGCAGTATCTGAGTGGCTAGGTTCTTGGAAAGAGTTGGTGCTTTCGTGAGAGGCAGAACACTGAAACCAAAGGGAATAGTTTGAGCTAATTATTCTGTTCCTTCCTCAGGTTTACTACCATGGAGATCCTATCAATGTCAGTATTGAAGCGACTAATAATTCTAACAAGGATGTGAAGAATGTCAAACTATCAGGTATGGTGGGGCTGGTAGGTTTATGGACTAACAATCTGGAGGTCCTGAGTTCAAATTCCACAAGAACAAGTTTGTAAAATTGAGCTTGATAACATTGGATTACTCTGGTCACCAGAAAAGTGACTGTGGAAACCTCTAAATTTCTGTCTCCCTGGGGAAGAGAATTGGCCCTTCATTTATTTTTTGTCTGGTCCAGCCTACATGAAACTCCAGAGCCTCTACACAGGGTTGACTCTTAACACTTTACAACAGCTTGTCAATTGAGCCTCTCAGTAATAGGAACAACGCTAGGTTCAAAAAGAAATGACGACCACCTTCCTAAAGCAGCAGTGAGCTGAGTATTGACCCTGCCCCAAAAACACATTTCTAAAAACTGCTGTATTACCCCATTGCTTCCACTCTGATTTTACTAATCCCTCTCACTGACTTCAAAATGGTTGCATAAAGGTAAATGTTTGTTCAATTTTTGAAAGAGATAGTAAGAACTGCAGATGCTGGAGTCAGAGATAACACAGTGAGGAGCCGGAGGAACATTTCCTGCTCCTCTGATGCTGCCTGTGTTCCTCCGGCTCCACACTGTGTTATCTCATGTTCAATTTTGAAATATGGTTTAGCAAGAAATCAGATTGCATGTAGAAGCTAAGCAACATTTAACCTCTTAAATTTAATGATAATGATGTGTCTGAAGCATCAATGTTAAGTGTTGAGTCTCTGAGTGATATTATGGACCAGACCGGACCCTCTCACAATATATTAAGAAGGTACCCTAGACTTTAACTTATTCTTACTTTAAAGGTAAATATGAGGTGCTATGATCCAGATGCAATTTGATTGGTCAAACTACGTAATATTAGGCAAAAGACAACTTATTCAAACACTGCAATTAAAATAAAGCAAGAGAAACAGGAACTTGGAAATAACAACTCAATTGGAAATCTTAACAGAATAATAGATCATTTTACTACTAAACAGTAACTGTTTCAATGCAATAAAAAAAACACATACAATAAAGCAAAGAGTAGTCGGAAACTAGTAGATTGGGAAATCTTTAAAGAAAGCCACAAAAAAAGTTATAAAGAAAAGTAAGATAGATTAGGAGAGTAAACTAGCTCAGAATATAAAAACAGGCAGCATAAGTTTCTATAAATATGTAAATGGTAAAAGAGTGGCGAAGGTAAACATTGGTCCTTTAGAGGATGAGAAGGCCAATTTAATAACTGAGAATGAGGAAATAGCCGAGACATTAAACAGTTATTTCGTGTCGGTCTTCACAGTGGAAGACACAAATAACATGCCGCAAACTAATGGCAAGAAGGTTATAGCAGGTGAGGACCTAGAAACTATCATTATCACTAAGGAGGCAATGCTGGGCAAGCTAATGGGGCTAAAGGTAGACAAGTCTCCTGGCCCTGATGAAATGTATCCCAGGGTACTAAAAGAGGTGATGGGGGAAATAGCAAATGCATTAGTAATTATTTACCAAAATTCACTGGACTCTGGGGTGGTTCCCACAGATTGGAAAACAGCCAATGTGACGCCACTGTTTAAAAAAGGAAGTAGACAAAAAGCAGGTAACTATAGGCCAGTTAGCTTAACTTCGGTAGTGGGGAAAATGCTTGAATCTATCATTAAGGAAGAAATAGCAAGACATCTGGATATAAATTGTCCCATTGGGAACACCCAGCATGGGTTCATGAAGGGTAGGTCATGTTTAACAAATTTGGTGGAATTCTTTGAGGACATTACTTGCATGGTGGACAATGGGGAACCTGTGGATGTGGTGTATCTGGATTTCCAGAAGGCATTTGATAAGGTGCCACACCAAAGGCTGCTACATAAGATAAAGTTGCACGGTATTACAGGTAATGTATTGGCATGGATAGAAGATTGGTTGACCAGTAGAAAGCAAAGAGTAGGGGTAAATGGGTGTTTTTCTGGTTGGCGGTCAGTGGCTAGTGGTGTGCCTCAGGGATCAGTGTTGGGACCTCAATTGTTTACAATTTACATAGATGATTTGGAGTTGGGGACTAAGTGTGATGTGTCAAAATTTGCAGATGACACTAAGGTGAGTGGTAGAGCAAAGTGTGCAGAAGACACTGAAAGTCTGCAGAGGGATATAGATAGTCTAAGTGAGTGGGCAAAGGTCTGGCAGATGGAGTACAATGTTGATAAGTGTGAGATCATCCATTTTGGTAGGAATAACAGCAAAATGGACTATGTTTCAAATGGTAAAAAATTGCTGTACGCTGCTGTGCAGAGGGACTTGGGTGTCCTTGTGCATGACTCACTAAAAGTAGGTGCAGCAGGTAATTAAAAAGGCAAATGAAATTTTGTCTGTCATTGCGAGAGGGATGGAGTTTAAAAACAGGGAGGCTATGCTGCAGCTGTATAGGGTCCTGGTGAGGCCACACCTGGAGTACTGTGTGCAGTTTTGGTCTCCTTACTTGAGAAGAGATATACTAGCACTGGAGGGGCTGCAGAGGGGATTCACTCGGTTGATTCCAGATTTGAGAGGGTTGGATTATGAGGAGATACTGAGTAGGCTGGGATTATACTCATTGGAATTCAGAAGAATGAGGGGAGATCTTATAGAAACATTTAAGATTATGAAGGGAATAGATAAAGTGGAGGCAGGGAGGTTGTTTCCGCTAGCAGGTGAAACTAGGACTAGAGGGCATCGCCTCAAAATAAAGGGAAGCAGATGTAGGACTGAGGTCGGGGAACTTCTTCACCCAAAGGGTTGTGAATCTGTGGAATTCCCTGCCCAGTGAAGCGGTTGAAGCTACCTCGCTGAATGTTTTTAAGGCAAGGCTACATAAATTTTTGAACAGTAAAGGAATTAAGGGTTATGGTGAGTGGGCGGGTAAGTGGAGCTGAGTCTCAAAAAGATCAGCCATGATCTTATTAAATGGCGGGGCAGGCTCGAGGGGCCAGATGGCCTACTCCTGCTCCTAGTTCTTAGTTCTTATGTGCTTATAACATCCCAAAACACACCCTTGGCAAAAGGCAAATTTAGAAAACATGTTGTCTCACATGCAAACTCCAGCAGCCCAAAAGGAAAAGCATCCAGAGAAGACTCAGAGAGAGTGTAGCAGTTGGGAAAAATTCACTGCCTTTTAACCCTCTTGAGACCCCAGGAACAACTGCTGCTGAAAAAACTGAAAATCCTGTTTCTGTGAGAGTTTAACCCCACCCCTTCAGACTGCTTCTGGTTGTTCCAACTTCAAAACAAAACCAAGGCCTCACAAGCTGTTTACTGTAGTGGTTCTGGTAGACTGCTCCTCACCTCTACCTTAAACCGTTCCTTCAACAAAAAAAAGACAAAATAACCTATTAAAGCCATAGCATCATCACAACAAACAGTGCTTCAGTAGTGATCTTTGAGTTACCAGCTTAAATTTGTGAATCCCTGTGTGAACAGCACTTACAAATGAGCGATAGTAGGAACTGCAGATGCTGGAGAATCCGAGACAACAAGGTGCAGGGCTGGATGAACACAGCAGGCCAAGCAGCATCATAGGAGCAGAGAGGCTGACGTTTCGGGCCTAGACCCTTTCTGATGAAGGGTCTAAGGCCTGAAACGTCAGCCTTTCTGCTCCTGTGATGCTGCTTGGCCTGCTTACAAATGAGCCTTTGATTAAAGAGTATCACCCTTTAGTGAGTAAACACTATCAGGTGACTGTTAAGTAAAAGCAAAGTATTGCAGATGCTGGAAATCAGAATTAATAAAAAACAGAATGTGCTGGAGAAAATCTGCAGGAAGGGCAGCATCTGTGGAGGTAGAGACCGAATTAATATTTTACGTTTATTGTGATTCTTTTCCCTTAAAATATGGGACAGTTCATCACTGTGTGTTAAAACTCTACCTTCTCAAGTGGATTAATTCAAAAAGAGTTGGAGAGTTATCCCTGTTCCATGGGCAATCTTCAATCAACATCACTTATAAAGGTTTTCTAGTCATTGTTACACTTGCTGTTGGTGGGTGCAAATTGCTGTCTTCTTTCCTACGTTGTGACAATGACTACACTTCCAAAAGTACTTCATTGACTGAAGAATCCTTTGGAATGTCCTGAGGTTGGAAAAGGTGCCGTTTAAATGTGAATTGTTCTTTCTTCCTCTCATTTTTTTGTATCTTTTCCCAAAACATGACATAATTTTTGTAGAAAACTGCTCACAGTTTGCAAGGTGAGGTCTAACAAAATTTCTTTATAAGGTTAAAATAACTTTTCCCAGATTTTTTTAATCAATTTGTCAAGAAAATAAGAGCCTCAGTGTTATTTTTTAATGGCTTTATTAATCCGCATCACTTCCTTTAAGGATTTGTGTATCTATATTCCAGGTCTCTCTGCACCTCAAGCCCATTTAGATTCTTAATATCTGAGCAGTATGTGTTCTCCTCATACTTTCTAATGAAGTGTACTACCCCGCATTTACCTAAAGTTCCTTTTTCAATTGTGTACCCATTCTGCAGATTAAATTATATCTCTTCATATGTTGCCACTGTACCCCTAGTCTTGGGTACTTAGCTAATTTTGAAGTTTCCCAAAGGGCCCAATTTTAACTCACTCGAACGCCATTTGTCTCGGATTATGAATGATTTTTCCAACAGCAAGTACTGCGTGTTTAGTTGGCCTGAAATTCTTTCCTTTGTTCTCAGTTGAACAAGTGACTAATGTCGTGTTGTACTCGAATGATACTTACACCGAGGAAGTTGCTGTGGAGGAAGCAAAGTAAGTACCGCACTTTGTTGTCATTAGACGAGCCTCCCTGAAGGACTAAGGATGATAAGAAACATGCATAAGGACCTGAACTCTATTGGGCAGTCTAGTCTCTGCAGGATGTTACAGTCTATAGAGTGGCTGGTGTCTAATACAATGACTGGAGCCCTCTACCGAGGCTGAAACCTGTGGTGTGGGTTTGGTTCTCCAAGAATGTTTGGGTGATGAGAATGGAATAAGGTCTCTGCAGTTCAGCAATAGCTCTTTGAATTGATGGGCCAGTGCGGAATGGCTGAAGCAGCACAGAATGGCAGTAACAGACCAAACCAAAATTTCACTTCAACTGTTGCCAGCTCCACTTGAGACAACATAAAGCAAAGGGACGTGGGATAGTAAGGCATTATATTTCTAGAGATGTTCTCCCTATTGCTGACTGGAAGCAAGAAGTGAGGGTCGAAAGAGGATGGCCTGTGAAATTATAATGGGAACTGTGTTCACTCAAATGTATTTACTTGTACTCACTATATTTGCTAGTAGCTATTTCTATCGAATTTGGAATCCAGAATGAAGTGGCCATAATCTTAGATTGAGAGCTTAGCCAATTGGGAAAGACTTTCTTCCGTAAAGAATGTTGCAAATCTGGAACTCTCTTCATCAAAAGGCTGGGATCAAATTAAATGTTTGAAATTGATATGTTTGTTTTATTTTTGTTAGCCAAAGATATTAAGGGATATGTAGCAATGATGGGAAAATGGGGCTGAGAATGATCTAATTGGGTGGTAGAAGTGGCTTTAGGTCTGATTGGTCAGCTTCTGTTGCTACGGTGCTGATGGCTGATCTGAGTTTCATGGACTATTGAGCAACACCGTTCGTTCTCAGGATTTTCTGCTGAAGTAAGATTGGGAGAAACCCCACAGAAATTTAACCCCAGGATGTCATCTGTATTTATTTAGTCAGGCAAATTAGCCTCTAGTCCCATGCACTGGGGAGGAGATAAATAGCCAGGGATCTCGCCCCTCATCAGCTGATCTCTACACACTCAGGTTAGGCTGAGATGCTCTGCACAGCCCACCAACAGCATTGTCACAACTCACAAATATAAAAAAAATCCCACTTTTAACTCCATCAGTCCTGCATATTGTGGGGAGGCTGTGTTCCTTTTGACAGGATTCAGTGCATCCTACTTTTACAGTCCAATTCCAAGATCAACATTCCCTATCACCGAAGAACACAGATTGTCACCATTTGCCCACAGTGCAGGGAAAAATACAAAGTCTGGGCATATTATGGCGACCACAATTGTTTTCCACTGGACACATTTCTTTCTTTCCTTGGTGATCATCAGGAATTGAAGACAGTTGAATGGGTAATTTAGTTTTATTACAATGGAATACCAGGTTGCTGGTATGAATCACTTTCTGTTATTTTTAGATTTTGATGCAAAAGTTAGATCACGAGAATCGCTTCCCCATGGCAGACGTGTCTGAGACCAGAGGGCTCAGGTTTAAGGTGAGGAGCAAATGGCTTACAAGAGATCTGAAGAAAAAAACTCTCACTCACAGGGTGGTAGAAATATGGAATGTGCTGCCTGAGAAGGTCGTAGAGGCAGATATGCTCGCAACATTTAAGAAGGATTTGGGTGAGCACTTAAAATGCCAGGTCATAGTAGGTTATGCTGGTGCAGGTAAATGGGATTAGTGAGTTTTAATGTTTGTTGGCCGGCATAGACATGGTGGGCCGAAGGGCCTGTTTCTATGGTGCATGACCCTGGTCTTCTGAACTTTTTCAGTTTAAGATCTTTGATGTCTGAGCAGAAGGAGGAAATCATGGAGAGCGGGAATTTTTCTGATCCGTCTGGGTTTGAGGCTGAGACTGGAAGTTGTTAAGTCAAGAACTCTTATAACCTCTGGTGAAATAACACTAGTGTCCAACAGGTCGTGCAGGAGCCCCTTCTCAATAAACTCAGGGCGGTCAGGGTCCCTCAGGTAGTAGGCAGGAAGCTACTGGCTGGATGTGTTGTTGGATGGAAGATGTTTGGTTACGTTTGATTGGATTGCGTTGTTAAATATCAATGTTCTATCTTTGCTAGTGACCTGATTGCTTCAGGTTCCAAGTTCACGAAGACCTACACGCTCTTGCCATTAATGGCCAACAACCGTGACAAGCATGGTATTGCCCTCGATGGTAGAATCAAGCAGGAGGACACAAACCTGGCTTCTTCCACAATGTAAGGGAATCAGGTTTGACTTGGGGGAAGGGAAGGTGATGGAATCTGAGAGGGAGAAAGGAATGGACAGCGTTATGGGAGAAAGGGAGTTGGGGAGGAGAGAAAGACTGAACGGAGGGAGGCGGGCTGGCGGAAGAAGGACGTATTAGCTTCAGACTGCACCATCTTGGTCTGGTTGGTAACAGTTGTGCTGACCGTCTGACAAACAACAGCGAGGACACGGGCAGAGCAACAGAGGTGAAAATACTTTCGTAGAATTATACAAACTCAGATTGGTTACAGCACAGAAAGAGGCCAGCTGTCAAATCTGTGCTGGATTTCTGAAAGAAAAGCTCACCGAGTCCCACTCAGTGCCTGCCCCCTGTTGTCCTGCAAATATTTTTGCTTTGGAAAATTCTCCAATTCTCATTTGAAAGCCTCAATTCAATCTGACTCTGGCACAGTTGGTACATTCCGCATCCAAAGCACTTGCTGGGAAAAGACATTTTTCCACATGTCATTATTGCTTTTTAATCACTTTAAATCAAAATCCTCTGGTGGTCAACCCTTTTACTAATAGGAGTCAGTTTTCTCTATTCACTATTTCCTGACACCTCCTGGTCTATACTTCATTAACTGTTTTCTCAACTTGCCCTGCCTCCTCCAATAATTTGTATACATATATCCTCAGGTCATAAGAACATGGGAATTAGGCTCAGGAGTAAGACATTAGGCCATTCTGCTCTTCAACCCTTTGAGCTTGCTCTGTCATTCGATAAGATCATAGCCCTTCTGCCCTTCAGAATGCGGCATCATATTTTCTCCGCCACTTCCGCCACCTGCAATCTGACACCACTACGAAGGATATATTTCCCTCCCCACCCTTATCTGCCTTCTGAAGGGACCGCTCTCTCCGCGACTCCCTCGTCCGCTTCACACTCCCCACTAGCCCCACTACCCCCGGCACTTTTCCTCGCAACGACAGGAAGTGCTACACCTGCCCCTACATCTCCATCCCAGGCCACAAAAAAGCCTTCCACATCAGGCAGATGTTCACCTGCACATCTGCTAATGTGGTCTATTGTATCCGCGGTTCCCGATGTGGCCTCCTCTACATTGGGGAGACCAAGCGGAGGCTCAGAGACCGCTTTGTAGAGCACCTGCGCTCGGTTCGTGACAAATGACAACACCTCCCGGTCACGAACCATTTCAACTCCCCCTCCCACTCCCTGGACAACATGTCCATCCTGGGCCTCCTCCAGAGTCACAACGATGCCACCCGGAAACTGGAGGAACAGCACCTCATATTCCACCTTGGAACCCTAAAACCCAACGGTCTCAATGTAGACTTTACAAGCTTCAAAATCTCCCCACCCCCAACCTCATCTCAAGACCAGCGCCCCACCCCCCACTGCCTCCTTGGTTTGTCCGTCTTCTCTCCCACCTATCCACTCCTCCCACATCACTGACCAATTCCCACCACTACCTACCTGCTATCACCATCCCACCTACCTTTTCCAGCCCAAACCCCCCCTCTATTTATTTCAGAGCCCCCTTCCCCTCCCCCATTTCTGAAGAAGGGTCCCGACCTGAAACATCAGCTTTCCTGCTCCTCTGATGCTGCCTGGCCTGCTGTGTTCATCCAGCTCCACACTGTGTTATCTGCATCTTATTTGATGTCTCCTCATTCTTCCTACCAAATGAAATCACTCCGTAATACACTGGATTAAATTTCACCTGCCACTTTTCCACCCATTCTGTCAAAGTCTTGAAGCTTATTCCTGTGCTACTCACAGTTTACAGTATTTCCAAGTTTTCAGTCACCAACAAAACTTGAAATTGTATTCTGCTTGCCAAGGTATAGTTCATTGATATAGATCAAGAAAATTAGTGGTCATTAAGTCAGTCCCTAGAGCACCATCTTCTGTCACCTAGTCAACTTTATATCCATGTTACCACTGTCCCTGCAAGAACTTCAAATTTGCTGTCATTTTTTTTTCAATATAACACCTTCTCAAATGCCTTTTGGAGGTTCTTGTGCACCACATTCACACATGACCCTGCTCAACTTGGTCAGCTACCTCATTAAAAAAAACGCTCGAAGTTCTCAGCATTGGGCATCTAATGTGATAATAGATGATACATGTATGGACTTCAGCACCAGGGTCCATATTGCAGGATATCAGGTGAAGGGTCCAGGTTCATACCCTAGGAAACCAGGCAGAGAATCAAGGTCCATAATTCAGAACATCAAATGAATATCTATAACATGTGGCACAACATGAAGATCAGAAGAGAAGATCACACAAAATATGGAGTAGTGTTTGGTTGCTCTGAAGCATGGATTTGAGAAAATTGAAGTAGAAAGAAATGATTGAAGGAGATACGGAGAGCTAGATTGTTTGAGAATCTGGGATTGATGGAAAGCCTTGCTGATATGGAGTGTAATACCACAGTAACACCAGAAAAACACCAGATTAATCTGTCTTTTCTCTGTTTCAGTTTAAAGGAAGGGACTGACCGGGAAGTTCAGGGGATGTTGGTGTCCTATAAAGTGAAAGTCAGTTTAATGATCCCTGGGTAAGTGATGTGCACAAGTGCTTAATTCAATTCACACCAAATTCCATGCACATTTTGCACTGAAATATCTAGATGGAGTGGTGTTATTTAGAACCCTACCTGTGCCCAAGTTCAGGCTCTTATTTTGATTGACAAATAGTTGTGTTTGTTATGTTTACAGCTGCTAAGAGATATCAGAACTGGTTGAAATCCCCAGACAGGAAGAGACTGAACCTCTTTCTGGATAGAACATTTGAGTCTCAGTGTGAATCCAATTAATCTATAGTCACTGCTTCCTAAGGTATCAGACTTGGTCACACTTTTGTCTTTGACTTGGATGATCCTATGTTCAAGACCAGCTTCAGAAACTTGATCACTTATTCTAGGTAGACACTTCAATGTAGGATAAGTGTTCAAAATCAGGCGCTACCCTTCTCTCAGGTGGATGTAACTAATCTCGATAAACTGTTTAAAGAAAAGCAAAAAGGAGTTCAAGCTTTAACTAACATAATTAAAAGTTGGTTTATGGTCATTATTTTGTTCCTTCTCATGGGACCTCTCTGTATGTACATTGGTTTTCATTATTTCCAATAAGTCATTATGATATTGACCACACTACAAAAAATATTTCAGTGGAATAAAGTAAAACTTTGTTTCACTATATTAATATCCTGCCTTCAAATAAATTACTTTAATTACCCAAATTTATTGATAGCCACACAGATACAGAGGATTCCCCAGGACCAAAGGTGTCTATTATGATCCAACAGGTTATTTTGCATTTCATTAAATTACACAATTTCCTGCCTCATCTGTCTCTCAATTCCTCCTTCCATCAAAAAATTCCATGGACCCTCTTGGTATCATTCACCCTCCATTGTGTGCTTCGGCAATCTATTCCCTACATTCTTCACCCTCTGTAAAAGAATAAATTCAAATATATTAAAAACTTGTGCAAAATATTAACTTTCCTGTTTTTCCTTTCTTGCAGTGTGTTGGGTGATCTAACAGCCAGGTGAAGTATTGTCAATTGCCATTCTATAATTAATTAAAACCTTTACCAAATAGAAAAGCTTCACTCTGACATGGAAATGAATGCATTTAACTGGGGGAAAATGTAATCTTCCTAAGTATTTGATATCCTGACTGGTCCAGAAAATCAAAATAATTTGTTTTAGTTATCACCTTGCAAAAATAGAATAGTAGATGTTTTTGCAACAGTTGGAGCATATTAAGGTCACATTCCTGAGCTAGTGCTAACCCATTATTGGAGCTATCTATTCTCAGCTGATGTGAGTAATAGCTATCGGCCAACATTACAAGAAATGTCCAGGACACAGAGGAACTAGAAGCACATAGTGAGGAAGAGGTGATAATGGATAACACACATATACATATATTATTTCTCATATCTGCTACTCACTGCATTTCCCTGTAACTATATCACTGTCAGATGGGATCATCAGACATTTCCTGGACAGACAGTCACTGGAACAAAGTCTTTGCTGACCATGTGACAATGACGTCTGTTGGGTGCCAGTGTTCAGAATGCCTTTGCCACATTAGGGATAGTGCAATCTATTGGACAGGGCTTCAGGTCTCAGTCAGTGTCTAGACTGTGTTGGAAATAGTTGGCCCCTATTTGGCAAGTAGTATTGTTAAATAAGTAATTTAAAGCAGTGCTAGTAGTTTTGTCTCTGAGCCAGAAGGTTGAGTTCACTCTACCTCACTCTAGAGATTTGAGGCTGTTATTTATGGGGTGCTATATCTCATGTGCCACCCCATTCCCATATCAGGAACGCAACCATTGAACAGTCAATGGTCTCACAGCCATTTTATGCTGGGAACAGAGTTAATTGCCCCACCTTGAGACTTAAGCTCTCATGGAGGACTTGCACCTCACAGAGCTGCCATCGAATCTGTCCAGGGTCTATATCGTGCCAACAGGTTGTGGAGCTGGTTTCAAGGTTACTACAGGAGATCACTGAGCCTTGGCTGCCAGAATCCAGCAGTGGGGAGGGGGGGTGGGTGTTGGGGGTGGGTGGTGGTGGGGCACTGATTTGAGAAACCTGTGAGAAAAGTTAAAGGAAAGTATGGATTGAGGCAGTGTGAGACTGGGGTGTGATTCCAATGGGCACAGGGGACTCCCAAATGATGTCTCTCCCCATTCCCTGCTTGCCTGTAACCAACTCGCATGATAAAAATTACTCGGCTACCCAAGGGTCAAAAATCAGGGGAGATGGAATGAGGCACTTAATTAGCCAATGATTGGCCTTGAATGTCTCAGGGTGGGCTAAAATGGGAGACTGGGCAAGCAGAAAGGAAGTGAGCAGGCAGCACCCCTATTATTTCGCAAGGCCGCCTGTCCTCAAGCATACCGACCCAGATGGTTATCTGCCCAGATTGAATCTCCTGCCCTTGTAAAACCTGCCTGATTTTTTGTCCTCAATCGTGAAGGTAAAAATGACCCTCTTAAGCACATAATCCAGTGCCACAGAGTGAGTGCTGCATTATCAGAGGATCAGCCTTTGAGTTAAGCTGTTAAACAGCCAAGTAAATGAAAAATAACCCATGGAACTGATTGAAGAAGTGTAGAAGAGTTCATTCGATTGCCTTATTAAAAGTCTGCTCTCGTTCAACACCACAAAAATCCAGATTGCCTAGCCATTTAATGCAGTCCGTTAATGTCCGCTGTGTACAATTTAGCTGCAGCATTTCCTACATTATAACAGTGACTAAATTTTGAAAATATTTCATTGGTTATGAAGTTTTTTGGGAGATTGTTAAACATGAATCCTTTAGTGAAGAGTGGAAATTTGTACCCCAATAAATCTGGTTGAAGCCATTGCAAGTCACTAGTGTTTATGACATTGCAATTGAGTAATATTTTAAAGACTCATTTGTTGATACCTTTTCTTCCTGTAGTGATGCCACAGTGGAAATACCTTTCCTGCTCATGCATCCAAACCCTGGTAAGTTTTGCCTGCCAGTAAGATATTGTGGAATCTAGCTTCTGATGGATATTTCTCTAGTTTGCTAAACATTAACCCTATCCAGAGCTGCTCATATGGCAGGGTCTTGCACTAGGAATAGGAATGGAAACAGGAAGTGCCAATTGGAGGCCTAAGCCTTCTGACTAACACTGAAAGGCTGTAGTGTAAGATCCCTAAAACCTGATTTAGTGAGAGAAATTAATGAAATGGTTAGTTGCGCCAACCTTCCTTTTTCAGGTTGGTCCTGGGACCTCTGCAGTCCTTCTAGTCTCAGGTTAGATCCCAGCAGCAGTTTTTATGACATCAACCCTCCCTCCCACCCCAGTCCATTACTCCACTCCGATATAGGTACATTCCCAAGCACATTGAAAACAATGCTTTGGGAATTTAGCGAGAATCATTTGGGTTAGAATGGAATGAAGAGCAATTGGCCAATTGAGGAACCAATTGAGGATTATATGTCATTATAATAGGGGTGGGACTGAGTTGCCCCATTATCATATGAGAGGGTGGCATCTATAGGTGGCACAGTGGCTCAGTGGTTAGCATTGCTGCCTCACAGCGTCAGGGACCTGGGTTCAATTCTACCCTCAGGCCACTGTCTGTGTGGAGTTTGCACATTCTCCCTGTGTCTGTGTGTGTTTCCTCTGGGTGCTCCGGTTTCCTCCCACAGTTTAAAGTTGTACAGGCTAGGTGGATTGGCCATGCTAATTTGCCCGTAGTGTCCAGGGATGTGTAGACTGGGGGGGCTATAGGGGGATGGGTCTGAGTGGGATGTTCTGAGGGTCAGTGTGGACTTGTTGGGCTGAAGGGCCTGTTTCCACACGGTAGGGATTCTATGATCTATTATGATAGTAGTCAACAGTTCAGGTAGCTCTGTAAGGACCCTACAAATACAATAATCAAACAATTCAATGAAATGTTTTAAATAAAACAGATAGAACCTAAACTATAAAGGTTAGTAATGTTATTCATGTTCTAATATTTATCAGAATTTCTCTATGTAGTAGAAGCCTCAAGTATAACAATGGACACTGCATTTTGGAAGTGTTTGGGAATGGATGGGTGGAGTTCTATAATGGGAATGGGATAGAAACATCAGGTGCTTTGGATATGTAATTATTAGGAACACTAGGTTAATTATGACATCCTGTATTATGATTTGGAAGTCATGCTTTCAAAGTTGACAGGTCAGAAAGTCAAAGTGTCACTATTGTAAACACTCTATCGTTTTATCTGCAAATACTATTTTCCCCACTGGGAATGAATGGAAGCACAGAATAGTCCCTTGTGGACCTTCATTCACAGGTTAGATTGTTATTTGTCTTTTATGTGTTCCCCAAAGACTTTTCCCTGGTGTCGCACTGAGCCAAACAGAATAGGAAACTGTGTACTAGATGAGATGGCCATACGTAAACTGCAGTTCATCTCGGCGTACCCACATTAGGGGTGGTGAAATCTGTCAGGCAGGGCTTCAGACAGGCTGTGTTGGAAAGGGTTAGGCTCAGTGTAATATTAGCCACACCCAAGTAACATGGCACCATTCACTAATTCTTAGTTACAGTTCTAATCTAGTCAGGAGCTGTGTATCTCTGTTTGTGTTCATGTGTCAGTATCTCAGTGTTTGTGTTTCTGTGCATATCTACTCACTCTACTATTATTGGACCTGCATTAATCCCTGTATTTGTTTCTTTTTTCCCATCTCTCTGGTCCCCTTGCTGTGGGATTCCTTCGATAGAAAGTATCAAGTAAGAACCTTTTTTTAAAAACAGATAATCCTTCTGTTGGCAGGTAGAGAAACTCTAAAATAGTTTTACATAAAAAAAAAGATTATGATGACCTTTTTTGGCCCTAGTGCGGTGTAGGGACAGGTGAGTTGTTTGTAATCTCTTCTATTAAAAGTATGCTGGACAGCTGCCATTCTAGTAATCTGATAGCCTGATGTGATGATAGTTGCTGACACTGTTACACTGGGAGGTAGACTAATTTGCCTGAGAGGGGATTGGTCTTTATTAAATAATACTTAGACTTCAATCAGTTTGTAGTCAATTAGAAAGTAGTTTTCACTGAATAGCTTTTGGTCTGCTATCAGTGTAATTAGGTATTTGTGATTAGTCTTCAATTAATTGAATTTAGTATTATTGGTCAAGTATTACACTTTATGACTAAATTTACTTTTCATTAAATGAGATTGATTTTGGGTTTAAGCTTCAGTCTCTACAGGATGAGATTTGATCTAATGAATTTAGTCTTGATTGAATGAGTCTTCAGTGGGTTTGCATCCAAAGGGCTTCTTCATCAATGACGTGAATTCCTTTTTTTGTTGTTGGGATTGAGTTTCCTGTTTGTTTTAATTAGTTATTTTAAATAGATTTACTACGTCTCCAATAAGATAACCCATATAGGAATTTCATAAAAAATATGTTATATTTTGCTGTTAGATATCACTTGCAGATTTTACTTTTCATTGACAAGTGTTCAATTTTAATTACTTTTTGTTGCTTGTATGTGGCTCTGCCTCCATTTGCATTTCTTTTAAGGATATATGCTGCAAATTTCCTTATGGGTTATCATGTTTGGCTTCCAAAACTTCAGTGGATGATCACCTGATATGTTGTCCACCTAAAACAGGAGTTGGCTATTCACCCCTTACACTTTTCCAATGTGATTACAGCTGATCTTATCTCGACCCTGTTCATCTTTGCTCCTTTATATCCATGTCTAGCAAAAATCCCTCCATATTAATTGAGTTTGCATCTAGTGCTTTTTTTTTGTGAGAGACGACTTTATGGCAAGGTGTTGCCTAACGTCTCCCCTAAAAAGACTAGCAGAGGTTTTTAAGGGCAGAAGTCACATGACACCAGGTCACAGTCCAACAGGTTTATTTGAAATTATAGGCTTTCGGAGCACAGTCCCTTCGTTAGGTGTCGTGTGCATTCTGACCTTGTCCATCTCAGTCCAACACTGGCATTTCCACATCAGAGATTTTTAAGGTTATACACCCTTGCTGCAATTTCCCTCTCAAGCAGCAAAAGTTTCTCTTTTTGCATTTATCCAGGAGTTTCTAACAAAACTATTGAGAGATTCTCTAGGGATGTTACCAGTCTAACTTAGGTCTTTTGATCGGATGTAACCATTGTATCCTTCACTGGTTTTAAGTCTTCAGTGAGGATGGTTTGATCCACATGGTTCGGAATTCATTATGTATTTGGAAGAGGTTTGGTAGTTACATCGGACAAGTTTGTGTATGTTACTTTTCTAATTGGAAACTCTGCTGACTTTCTCTTCAGAAACCCAGAGGAGGAAGACATTGCTATCGAGGATGATGGAGATCTTTCACCAGCAGATGCAGAAGATGATGAATGACAGCTGCTGTATCCTATCTGGCCATGTAGAGTTCACTTGTTTGTAGCTCAATGCTGTATGGCTGAAATCTGTTTAATTGTTTAGCGGTATAGGGCTTCCAATTTCTTCACCTGACCCTGGAAAGAAAACCAACAAAGATTTTGCATCCTGTTCAGAATGTGGCGCAATTAGATCATGGGAAGGAAATACTTTATGAAGCTCTTTAGGCTGGTATCTGATCTCCATCTCAGACACAAGTTCAGAATCTCTGAAAAGGATCGGGATTACACAAAGTTAGATTCAATCTTTACAAATTGGGTTAGTAACTTGAATGGAGGATGATACAAGTTTACTATTTAATGGTAATTTACTGTAAATTGTCACAATATAAATTTGTGTAGATTAAGTGGCAATCATAATTTCTTCAGAGCGAATGACAGCAAAATAACAATGGCAAAGAGTGCTGAGGTCATAACCAGTGCTGAAACTCATCACAGAAAAAGCAAATGATTCAATCACTTGCACAAACACTACAATGTATTTATTCTGAATTGGAAAATGTAATGAAAACAAACTCTTAAGAGGCACAGGGAATTATCTGAGCATCATTCTCACTGGTTCTAATGTTATTTAGTTTGAGTTCAACACTTGCAATTATTCATAAAATCTTTCAAGTCCCTCAATCAGTTTCTAGATTGGTCAGTCCCGGGTATCTGTTATTCTGTACATAACTTATATGGGGTCATTAATTAGACTCCAAACTTACTCCTAGACATCTATTCTTCTATATAGAGAAATATAAACACAATGGTTAGATTTCAGTCTGCCACTTGTTACTGAATATGCAATACTCTACCTCTGAAACAATAATTGTATCAAATGTGTGACTACCTCTTTTGGAGGTGTAGTTATTCTGTCTCCAATTAATCCTCACGGTACGATGGTGACACTCTGATCATTCTGGTAGGAGTGAGGAAGAATTTGGGTAATCTGGCTGTGGATTTACTTATTTGTGGCAATTAGTTTGAAATAAAAATGCATTCAAAACACTTGTTTCCTTCTTTCCAAAGTTGCAACGTATTTGGAACAATTGCTATCTTTCAGTATAAAATGTAATATTCATGGTTTAAAGCATTTTACATTTCAATATTCCAAATAAGCAAGACTACCAGTTCTAGGTAACCAGGTGTACTGTACTATATATAGCAATCTACCAGGTGTTTTGTACTGTAACACATACAGAGAGTCAGGGACTTTTTCAGCTTTCCCACAATGAAGCTTACAGTTTATTTGTTGCCATGAAAATATTTCTGACAATTTGAATTTTGCTAGGATGAAATCAGAAGAAAATGTGTCAACGCAATCTGTTTTTAAAGACAATGTTAAGGAATGCAGTGAAAAAAGAGCAACCAGATGATATTTATTTCTAAATATTTCACTACGTCTCTTGTGGCCTTGCTACAAATGTGTTAATAACAGCTAAGGCCACCTCTGATTTTAAAATCAAAAGTGCCGGAGAAACTCTATAGGTCTGGCAGCATCTGTGGAGAGAGAAATAAAGTTAAAGATTCAAGTCCAATATCAATCTTTGGAGCTTAAAGAGAGCTGGAAACATAATGAAACACTGCTATAGAGACAGGCGTAGGGGGAGCAAATAGAATGGATGGCAAAGGTGGCTTAGAGCGAAAATGCAAGGGAGGACAAATTGTCATAGAGGACTGGCATAAATGAAAAGTATGTGTTAATTGCAGAAAATAGGCAGCTTCATTGGGAGCTAACCCCTGCACACAAGACACTGGAGGAGAGGGTATGAGGAGACTGGAGGCAATCAATATGTCAGACACAGTTCATGCTCTGATGTTGTCGAATTCAACTTTGTGTCATGAAGGCTGTAAAATGCCTAAGAGGAAAATAAGATGCTCCAGCTTTGAGCTTCACTGGAAAACTTTAGCAGTTCTAGAACAGATATGTCAGCATGGGAACATGGGGGTTTATTAGAAAGGCTAGCAACTGGTAGGTTGGGTTCAGTCTTACAGTCAAAGTGGAGGTGTTCTGCAAAGCTGGTTACCCAGTCTGGATTTTACCTTGCTAATGCAGAGGAGACTGCAGTGTAAACAGTCAATACGGTAGAGTAGATTGGAAAAAGGATAATTAACTTGCTGCTTCACCTGGAAGTTATGTTTGGGGCCTTGGACAGCAGGGACAGAGAAGGTTGGAAGGTGCCATGGGGGGAGTTAAGGGATTAACAAAGTAGTAGATTAGCGGGTCACAAAGGGATGATCCCAGTGGAATGCTGACAGAAGAATGTGAGGAAAGATGTCTTTGATGATGACATTCTGCTGGAGGTAGCAGGAAACTGAAGGATGGTTCTTTGAAAGCAGAGGTTGGTGGTGTGGAAAATGAGGGCAAGGGGATCCCTATCATTGTTCTGGTAGGAAAGGGAAGGGCAGAAATGCAGCAGAGGGTCTGAGGGATTATACTTCAAAGTAACACTAATTATTATTCATTAATACTAAATACTGCTATACATAATAAGGATGGTAATACTAGGCTCTGACTTACAGTTACATTAGGTAAGGACAAAGCTATGTTCTTCATGTGTTCATGTCCATATGTTCTCAAGCCTCTCATTTTAGAATGTACTAACTCCATTCACACTGTGGTATTTATATTTAGTGACGTGCAGCACAGTGACATCATCACAAAGTTGCTTCAGGGTCCTGAGGCAGTTACATAACAGTAGCCGCTTGAATTTTGTTTCTTGCTCTACGTGGGCCCCTATGCTATGAAGTTCGCTATTTTCTACCTCTGTGATATCTCGTAGTATGTCCATGCGAGTTGTTCTAAAGCAGCAGTATTGCCTCTGTATGAATTTCTTGTGTGTTCAAGTCCTACTTCAGACTGAGCTCTTGGTACGGAATTAATGCTAATACTCTAGTATAGTATGAAGGCTGTGGTGTGCTATCACAATGGCTGCTTTCTGGATGAAATTTCTTAAAGGGACACTGGTGCCATGACACCATTTCATAGGACAGTTGTGTTCTCCTGGTAAATGATATCCTGGTAAATATCTATCCCTTGACCAAACGTGGCAAAAACAGGGTAGCTGGTCGTTGTGTATGCACTAGACAGACAAGGATTAGATGAATTTCAATATTGAGAAATGTGAAATGATTCATTTAGGTAGTAAGAAAATGAATAGACAATATAAAACAAAAGGGTACAGTTCTGAAGGCATTCTGTACAGGAGCACAGGATCAGATGCCATATGTACTTAAGTTGTTGAAGGTGGAAAGACAAGTTTTGAGATAGTGGTTAATACAGCTAGCTGGGTTTTATTAAAGGGGCATAGAGTGAAGAGCAAGGAAGTTACACTAAATTTATATAGGACACTAGTTAGGCCTCAGATGCAGTAATATGTCCAGTTCTAGATCACACTTTGAGAAGGATGTGAAAGCATTGGAGAGAGTTCAAAAAAAATCACAAGAATAGATCCAGGGATGAGGAATTCAGTCATGAAGATAGATTGGAGAAGTTAGGATTATTTTCCTTGTAAAGAAATAAGGCTGAGAGGTACAGAGCTATTCAAAATCATGTAGGGTTCAGACAAAGTAGATGAGGAGAAATTGTTCCCAATTGTGAAGGGATCAAGAATGAGAGGGCACAGATTTAAAGTAATTGGTAAAAGAAGCAAAAGGAACATGAAGAAATCTTTTTTACACCAGGAGTGGTTAGGGTCTGGTTGCACTGACTATGTCAGTGGTGAGGGCAGATTCAGTTGAAGCACTCAGAAGGGAATTAGCCTTTTATCTGAGAAGGATAAAGGTGTAGGGTAACTGGAAGAAGGCAAGGGAATGGCTCTCAATGAGTTGCTCATTTTGGAGAGATGGTGTGGCCACAATGGGCCCAATGGCCTCCTAAATTTAACAAATTGTGTGATATTACGGTAATCGTATTGCTTATTTGTTGGAAGCTGTTGTATGAAAAATGACTGCCAACAATTACTACAAATCACACTTCAAAAGTGTACTATTAAGCACATTGGGATGTATGGAGGCGGAAAATAACAGTTAGAGGACCAATGTAGGACCTGATAAACTAAAAGACCAAAACAATTTCTTTTTATGGATAAGTCCCAGAAGCAAAACCAAGCTTTGAAGATTCATTGGGTGGAGCAGAAGCAGTTTGAAAAAAAGTGTCCATCTGAACTTAGACAATTGGTATCTATTATTAATGCTGTATTATTAATCAACTGGAAGCTCTGAACGTCAAAGCATTTTATAATTCACTTTAGCTTTTCAGTACCTGCAGTAAATTAATTCATTATTCTTCTGAATTTATAACTAAAGTATGTATTTATTGCTGGAACGTGAATGTTGGTACCTTTTTCATAAATCATTTAAATCCAATCATTTATGAATAATTTATTTAAGTTCATCTGTAACTTTAGATTTCAACAAACGTTGTCTGACAAAAGGATTCCTGGTGGCACAATGGTTAGCACTATTACCTCACAGCGCCAGGGACCTGGATTTGATTCCATCCTTGGATCCAAATATCTCACTGTCTGTGTGGAGTTTGCACATTCTCCCCATGTCTGCATGGATTTCCTCTGGGTGCTCCTGTTTCCTTCCACAGTCCAAGGATATGCAGGTTTGGTGGATTGGCTGTGCTTAGTTGCCCAATATGCAGGGTAGGTGGGTTAACCATGGTAAATGTGGGGTTATGAGGATAGGTTAGGGGGGCTAGGCTGGATCTGGGTGGGATACTCTTCAGAGGGTTGGTGCAGGATTCAATGAGCCAAACTGCAGGGATTCTATGAAAATATACATCAGTAGTGCAACCTGGCTTATGCGGGATTTCCCTAAACCCGAAATGAACACTTTACTGTGGTCAGTCAGTTTGAATGGAGCATTGTACATTGTAAGATTACAGGTTCATTTTGTGCATTTGGGATTAACTTTTTATAATCAACTTAAAATGAACATGCCCAATTCTCAGTGGGTGCAGATGCCACAAGAAATGAATCAAATGGTTTTGCTTTGCAAAGATTTTGTTGAAGTTAAGGTGGGCAAAGATGACAAAGATCAACTGAGTGTCATTGCTCAGTCTTAAGTTGGTCCCTCCTCCCATACCTGAAGCCACGTCACTTGCAGTCAAAACTTTGGCTCCTTCTTCACTGATCATTGCTTTTTTTTTTACAAAGTTACAATTTACAAAAATACATGTTTAGTTAGAACGATGGAGGCTTTTCTTATTCACAGAAACCCCCCGGCTTGCTCCATTAGTCAGTTCGATAATGGCTGATCTGTCATTCAACTTGACTTCCATACATGTACATGTCTAACCATGTCATATCAAACACAAATCTATTGACCTCAATCTTGAAAATGTCAGTCCACCCAGCAATTGCAATCTTTGGTAAGGGGAGATCTAGATTTCCAGTTGTGTAGAAAGAAGGACTAAATGATTTGAAGAGCCTTTGAACAATGTTAACATTGAATTCTAATTGGAGCATTGCAAGGGTTTGTTTCAGAAATTTCAACACTGATGTTTAAACAAATCTCATTATAAAATTCACTTTCTGTCTGTACAGCTACCCTTGAATCATATCTCAATAACCATGCAGAATTTGGTTTTGGGTTCTATTAAAACTTCCCACCCAGACTTCTTAGTAAAAAAAATCTGAGGTTGTTGCATTTTTAATTATAATTATGCCCTCCTATTCTTGATATCTTTCTAATGAACAGTTGTTTTACCCTTCCATGGTTTGATTTTCAACGCTGTTATTGAATAGCAGTGATGGTTTATTCAATACCATTCCATCACTTTGAGGTGTCCCGAAAAAGATGCAAAGGCAGTCATTATCTACAGTTTCCAGCCCCTGTACTTACTCATGGGCTTCTTTTTAAAGTTTGAACATCAAATTATAACAAACAGCAACTGTTGCACAGAACAAGCCGACTATTTGATCAATTTTATTTCGATTACATCTCTAACAAAAGAACCTGAAATAAACACATCTTTTTGTTAGCATGTATTCAGTTAGTTAGTGAGAGCCAGCGGTTTCTACATTAAAAGGTTGTGAGAAAAAAGTCAACAAAGTCCAAATTGGTGATAGAGTGCACGGATAGTTAAGAAACATTGAACTTCAACACAATCTCTGAATTTAGAGGGCATAATTAATAAAAGAAAATACTCCATTCTACCACAAAGAGCACTGGAAAGCAAAGCTTTTACTGTGCAGAAAAAAGGGTCAAATTTGGAAAAAAACTTTGAGTTGAAATGATGAAGTTTGCCAAGATTATGAAGGGAATCAGTAAACAAGAATACAGGTTAAGTTAACCCTGTGATGAAGGAATCAAATCCCCAGGGACATAACCTGCAAATAAGCAAAGTCAGGATCAAGAAAGGGAAGTGAACTTTACCATCCAAATGACAATTGAACAACCAATTAAGTGTCAAAAATGTCTTTTGTTAAAATGAAGAAGGCTTCTCTTATTCAGAGAAATAGGTTGTTCAAACCCTCTGGCTTGCTCATTATTTAGTTGCACCTGAAACTCAACTCTACTTCCCTGCCATTGCTTCATATCTTTTGATATCCTCGCCTCACAAATCTAATTACCTCAATCTCGAAACGGTCCCAGAATCCACAGTCTTTGGGGAAGAGAGATCTGGATTTCCACAATGTTTTGTGTTCATATGTAGTTCAGTCATAAATAAACAAACTATTAATATATTAAGGCCTTATATCAATCTGCACTGCAATTTCTTCCCCAAAACAAATATTCTTCTTCAGACCCCATGTCCAAAACTGAACACATTACTCCAACTATTACCTGACCAAAATGTTGTACAACTGAAAAATATCTTTGAATTCAGTGTCTTTGAGATAATGACGAACAGGTGCACGAGCCTTTTTGATAGCATTGTTGAGGTTGGTTGGCTCGCCGAGCTGGTTTGTTGTTCCGCAGACGTTTCGTTACCATGCTTGGTAACATCCTCAGTGCAGCCTCTGATGAAACGTTGGTGTGTTTTCCCACCTGGTTTATAAACTCTGGGGTCCGTTGCGATGGATTGCCTCACTTCCGGGTTTCCTCCATAGTGGAATGTATATGGGGTCGAGTTCAATGTGTTTATTAATAGCATGCTTTGTGGAGTGCCATGCTTCCAGGACTTCTCGTGCTTGTCTCTGCCTAGCCTCTCCCAGGATCTTGGTGTTGTCCCAGTTGAAGTCGTGGTTCTCCTTGTCCATGTGGATTGAGATGAGTGAGTATTTGATAGCATCTTGTACATGTGCCTTAGCTTTTTTGTGATTTGTGAATATGCACACTTAGATCTAAGATTTTAGAGTAGATTTGTAGCTCGGGTTCTGGATGTTGTGGTTGGTTGGCTCGCCGAGCTGGTTCGTTGTTGCGCAGACATTTCATTACTCTGCTGGGTAACATCATCAGTGCAGCCTCCGATGTAGCACTGTTGTGTTTTCCCGCCTGTCATTTAAATTCTGGTCTGTGCTGCTGCAGTGTGTTGTTACCTGTTTAAATAATGTTCTCAGGCAACTTCGTTTGTGTGTGTTAGGGTGGTTGCTGTTGAAGTTCAGCACTTGGTCAGTGTGTGTGTGGCTTTCCTGTGTACACTACGCCAAAAAGAAGAATACCTCTTCCAAGTATTCAAAGACAACGGATACCCGATAAACTGGGTCAGAAGATGCCTATTACACGAACGACACCGGGAACATACTACACGCCCCGACTCACTCATCACGCAACCTTACATCAATAACACATCTGAACCGACCACAAGACTCCTACAACCACTGGGCATCAGAGTAGCACACAAACCCACATCAACCCTACGCCAGCTGCTCACCCGGACCAAAGACCCACTACCCACTGTGGACAGGAACAATGTCATACACAAGATTCCCTGCAAAGACTGTGACAAACACTACATTGGACAAACAGGAAGGAAATTAGCCACAAGAGCACACAAACATCAGTTGGCAACAAAAAGGCACGGCCAATACTCACTCATCTCATTACACACGGATAAGGAAAACCACCAATTCGATTGGGACAACACGAGGGTCCTGGGACAGGAGAAGCAGAGACAAGCACGGGAATTCCTAGAGGCCTGGTACTCCACTAAGAAAGCCATAAATAAACACGTAGAGCTAGACACCATATACATTCCATTGTGAACGAAAGCCGGGAGTGAGGTAATCCAGTTTAACGGACACCAGAATTTAAGTAACAGGAGGGAAAACACAACAGCGCTTCATTGGAGACTGCACTGATGATGTTACCCAGCAGAGTAATGAAATGTCTGCAGAACAACAAACCAGCTCGGTGAGCCAACCAACCACAATGGACACTTAGATCCACTAGTCCTCTGTAGCTCCTGATTACTCACCGTTATGAAACTCACTATTCTTTACAAATACCTGTGGCTTTATACTAATGCGCATTTCCACAGTGAGAGCAGGAGTTGCAGTCAGTGTTCCAGTAGGTGGAATCATCTTTGTAATGCTTGGCCTCTCAATGCTGGAACTCTATCCTACTCTGGCCAATTTTTGTGCATGACTTGGATGTATGTATGGACAGTGCTCTGCCCCACTATCAAAAACTTAAAACCCTTGTTGTAACAAACCTGGGAGTCTCTTCAAAGCTCAGGAACTAAAACAAATATAGTAAATTAATGATGCAATTTTTTGCTGAATTTCCTACACACAAATAGCTGGATTCTATTTAGAGGCAACTGAGTTGCTGAAGGGAGACTCAGAACCTTCCTTGAGATCTTCTGTCACTGCCATAGGACCACCCCGATCAAAGTCTTCAAACTCAATGTCATCATGATCAATACTGAGAACAAAGAGGAGGAAATATCTGTCAAAAGCATAGTCTCTTTAGGCCAGTATATGCAAAATCACAGACTGTCATCTAATAATTAGCTGGATAACTGGTTACTGGATGAGATAATCCACAAAATAGTGTGTGATGTACGCATGGGAGTATCTTGCCAAAATAATAGTGGGACTAATGGGGCCCCCCATTAAATATGAGTAAACGGCACAAGAATCATTAGGGAGGGCATTGTCACAAATAAATGTGAATGTCTAAAAGTTAGCATTAAAGTTATACAATTCACTGTTAGTTTCATGAAAACAGCAACTCACTGTCTGGTAGCTTATTGAAATTGATCAAATGGCGCACATTCAAATGTCTGGGTAATAGATACAAACCATACACACCACAGAAAATTAAACTTTGCCATTCCAATCAAAGTACTCCTTTAACAATGTAATAAATGTCAATTGCTGCCAATCAATATTTCCGGCACTGAAAATGAACCATTATGGAAACTCATTCCTTCAGGTTTGGTGTTTAAAATTTCAAAGATGTGAAATTATTTTTGCAGTTCCGTTTCTGTCTGTTTTTCTTCCTTTCTTCCTTATCCAATCTTCGTTTATTGCTTTTTCTGTGCCAGATTTGACTCCGAATTCCCTCAATCATTTATATTTACATCTCAGTCCTTTTACTGTTTAGTTCCCAACCCTACAATCTGATTGATTAAGGAAATATGGTTGTAAGGTCTGATCATTCTTGACCCAGGTACTTTCCTTCACAACTATGTCACTTTTCAGATAAGAGGTTTAAAATCCTAAATGTGCAAAGGTCAGTCTAACAGATGACAAATGCAATCGATCCCCTGCTGATGTAAATGCTGGGCCAGTGAAAGGAGTGGGATTCGGGGACTTATCCAATGCTGTATAATCAGGGAAGTGAGTTTGTGTATTGATCCAATACTGAAGGGACATTACTGTGTCGATCCAATTTAACAGCTACATAGGTTGTACATTTTCACTCACTGGATCGTGAAGTGTGTTAGGAATTGTGGTGCAGTTAGTACTGCCCTCTGAGCTGGTAATTCCTGGTTCAAGTCCCATCCCAGGACTTGATGACCAAGGAGGGTTCATTCAAACCAGGGTCTAACAACCTGATTATCAACCTGGAAATCCTCCCAAAACACTTATGGCAGGCAGTAGATACGGGAGAGACTTCTGGTCAGTCAAACTTGCTGTGGAGTGTCATTGGCCAAGATGCAAACTCTGGGATCAGCTAGTATTTTGTCTCCAAGAGAAAAAGATAGGGAAAATAGATGTAAGCACGTGTTTTGTCTGCCTCACATGTCTCTAGACCCAGGAAATTTTCTAAGATTAAGCCTAAACTGTAGTGAGAATAAATTACTGGAATAAAATGATTGCTGGAAAACTCTGGATTTCAGGAGTAGGTATCAGATGAATGTGCAAGAAATAAAGCAGGTACTTACAGGCTTTCTGTGAATTGTGGATGTGAGGGAAAAGAAATAGAGGAAAAATTGAAGGTGTATCTACTCAACATTGGAAGTTAATCATAGAACAGTAACATACATAGGCACATGTAGTTTCAATGAATATCAATCTCAAATCATATTTAACTTCACTCTTCTAATTCTGTCCTATTGATTTGGATGTTACTACACCATGCTACCTCCTATTTTGTCCCATTAAATGAGATTGCAATGGAGCAATGCATTTTGTTACTTACTCCCATCGTGTCAAATTCTAATGAACAAGTTCATTTCTATTCTCTCCATTACATAAAATTATACTGTGGTTCAGTCTCTTTCCAGTCTCCAGCTATTATGTAGGATTTAAATGAAGAACGCTTTTCCCACTTAATCCCATTTGCAGATGTTCTTCACTACAGTTTATGTTTGGTACTCACCGGTTTGGGGTTTGGGGTTCATGAGCAAGAAGGGTAAATCCACAGCAATATCACTGTAAAAGGAGGAGAAAAACAAGAAAATTATAAGTGCAATGCTCCAAAAGGTGCAGCATAATACATGTCAGCTCAAAGCATGAATGGAGCTCTTTCCATTTTCTTCACCTCACCTTTCAATTCCCCACGGGCCTTTTCTTTTGTTGTGTGAGTTGCAATCAGTCCTTCAAAACACTGCCCAGCTTAATTTAAGTGGAATAGCAATACCATTGATCCGATATGAAAAGGATGTGCCCAAAATCCACCAACCGGTGAGAATGGTTAAAGAGAACCTCGAGAAAGGTGAGAATATTTTTTTGCCCCCTCGGGTGTGGGCTAGAACAGTTCGGTAACATTTAATGGAGCACGGGGTTTGGTGTGAGAGCATGTTGTTTTCCCAATTCCTTCAACCAAGTCAGAGGCTGTTGCTCGGAGAACAGTGTGAAGATGAGTTCACAGGCTGTTGCTAGAGGAGCAGAATGGGAATGGGCACATAGGCTGTTGCTCAGAGAAACATATTGGGGATGGGTACACAGGCTGTTGCTAGGGGAACAGATTGGGGATGGGTTTACAGGCATTACTAGGGGAAGAGAGTAAGGAGGAGTTCACAGGCCATTGCTAGGGGAACAATGTTGGGATGGGCTCACAGTCCACTTTCACATTCCTAGGCTATTTGAAGCACTTACAAGGCTATTTATTTTATCAACAGCGGGTGTGGGTGTCATGTCATGTGCGGGTGTGAGCCAGTTGATATAGGAATAGCCCCTGTACACAAGTAGCCAGCCTGCATTCATTGGTCAGGACAGAACAGGGGTATACTGAGGACTGACACAGTTTGATAGGGCATTGGCTAGTAATAATATACCAGGCACAGGCCTACATGGCCTCTCCTGTCAACCCCGAGCAAATTGAAACCTGTCTTTCCTGTTAAGATACAGTGATGGGTGGTAATGTCAAACTGTCCTTGCTGATGTTGCTCCTCAATGCTTTGCCAGCATGCTCAGTATGCACTCTGGCAGGGGACCTGTGCTGGTGCACAATGCCCCTGGCCACTGCAGGACACTGGTGCTGCTCTACAACACAGGGCCACTGTGGCTCAGAGTGGGCATGGCTGGAGGCTTGTGTTGCCATTGTTCATGGAACATCCAACGGTAAGTGGTGATGGCGAGGGAAGACACTAGGCACTAGGATGGAGAGAAGGGTGATTTTGGGGAAAAGAGGCTTCAAAGGAAGAAGAATCAGACGGACAAAGGATTCCCTCAACCAGATGTAAACCACACACTTATTGCCATTTTTATAGTGGGTCTCTCATGTTTAATCTTAAGTTCTCTTCAGGTTTGTAATGACTTGACGCCAGTGGAATAAAGAATCCTTGCTTCAGGATCTTTGGGCCGTCTGTGTGTACAAATCTCAGGTTGCACTTTACAGTGCTGTGCCGGTGTGACTCAATTTGGGCACTGGCAGGACACTAGTATTGCTCTACAATGCAGTACTAATATAGTGCACTCCAAGCAGAATTTTTCTTTTCCTTTCTTTTCTTTCCCAAAACTTCATGCTAAAAACCAAAGATTCTCCTTGATTCACATTCAGATATTGTCCCAGATTCAGTGAAAGCATCCCAGCAACTTTTTATGAACGAGCTTAGGCTGTAAATGCCACTTGGCTATTTAGCTGTGGATTGAGAGCATTGTAATATAGTTCACCTTGATTTCCATACATGCTTTAACGAGCAGGAGTCACTTTGCATTAGTCAACAATGAGGGACTTGAGGGCTGTGTGAATTCAGCACAGATCACAAATCACACTTAAAACCTTCCAGTCTGTATAATTTGGACTAGTTCCACTGGGATATGCTTCTAGTCCTGCAGGACGGTCCTGATAATGAGCAGCGTTATACTCCAGTGGTCAGCTATGAATCAAACTCCAATGAGTCTAATCTTCAGAAATCCTGCATTGATGGAATTGATCAATCTCATATTTGAATGACTCAACATATCAGCTTACCTGAACAAAACATCCCCCAGCATCCTGAAAGGTAAATAAAGAAAGAGACAATTTAACCAACAAAAAAAATGGCAATCATGGCATTTCTAAATGTACAATTAAAAAAGTGTTTCTGAGTACGTCATCGATCAGGTGACAAGTGGTTGTAATTCAGGGGATTGAATTCAAACCCGATGTAAACATTGTGATAAAACATCTCTTTAATAATGGGGGAGTCAGTGATGTACTAACCCAATGGCCCAGGCAAATGCTCGAGGGCCATGTATTCAAATCCGTATCACAGCAGCTGGTGGAATTCCAGTTCTATTAATTTTAAAAAAGTCAATGTAATATTGAAAGCTGCTCTCAGTAATGATGAATAATTGTCATAAAAAGCTGTTTGGTTCACTAATGGGCTTGAGGAGATGAAATCAGCCATCCATTCCCTAGTCTGATCTACATGAGACTCCAGAACTATAGGAATATGGTTGACTTTTAACTGCCCTCTGAAATAGCCAAGCAAACCATTCAGTTCAAGGTTAATAAACATTGGGTAACAAATACTGGTCTTCCTGGTGACTCTGATGAGTCAGATCTTTAGAAATTATGCTTGAGGTAAGTGACTAAAACTTCATATCAATCATATAAAAATAAAACAAAGTACTGAAAGTGCTAGAAATCTGGAACAGACACAGAAAATATTGGAGAAACTCAGCAGGTGTGGCAGCATTGTGGAAAGAAAGCAGAGTTAACATTTTGAGTCCGGTGACTTCTTCAGAACATTCTGCATTTACCCAGGAGGCTCTGTGAGAGAGTTCCTTCTTCATTAAAATACTTCTATGGTGCTCGTATGGCCATTCTGAGCCATCATTCAGTGCTCCATCCAACACAGCTCACAACTTAGTAATACATTTCAATCCCTTTCTAACACAACAAGCTTTGGGTTTTAGTGCAATTGTATTATTCAGCTGACTGGATTTCCCAAAGCCGTATTGGTCAGTCACTGGAGAAGAAGAAAGCTCATCCTGTGTGTGACACTTACCCAGATACAATCAATTTCACCCTTACTTTGTAGGAAACAAGAATTCCCCAAACTTCTCGATCAATTCCTTCTTTTAAGCTGAAAACACCGAATAGCAATGTTAGTTGCATGGACAAAGACAGATATTAGAGCAAATATTTCTAGAAACATGAAGCTAACTGTTTTCACCATTTTTGAACGAGGAAAATAATTATGATGTGGACTTCCTGAAACCTAACACAAATTTTACATGTAAGAGATCGATCTTCAATAGAAAATGCTAAAAAAAATTAACCCACGAGTTACCTAACATGAGAGGAAACTTGCCCCAGCTTACATAGTGGTAGAAGCCAAGTTGGTGTCCTCATGTCTGAGTTTTCCATCCAGCACCACACCATGCTTCTCACGGTTATTAGCAATGATAGGATAGAGAGTGTAGACTTTCTTTAGAGTGGAACCTGGAGCCACCTGTTCACTGAGCAAGAATACACTTGTCAACATAATTGAAATACAAATGAGCATATACTTCAGAATCCATCCCCAATCAAATCTTAGAGCTACCATCCACTGTACACAACCCCATGGCACCAACACACTTACACGCTATAAACTGTCCAGTATATATGTGTCCAGTGAACAGTCCAAATATACCCCATCATCACTACACACATGAACACTGCCTGTACTTGAGATGCACCTCAAGTACAGGCAGTACATTGGCAAATATACCTCACAAATGTGTTCATCCAGCTCTGCACCTTGTTGTCTCGGATTCTCCAGCATCTGCAGTTCCTACTATCTCTGATTCAAATAAAACATTCAGTCTGGAGCTTCCAAACATCTTGAGAAATTTCAAGATTAATTGAAATATGTCCTTAAATGTTTTAAAAATATATCTACAGTGGTTCAAAAGTCAATTCATTCGAAGTAATCACATAACTGGCCATGGCCAAGGTTGGCATGGTTTGTTTCTGCTGATAGTGTTCACTCAGCAGCGTCCCCATATTGCAGACAGTATTTCAGAAGCATGGACACCTATGGTTGCCAACCTACAGTTGCAGTGACCAGCAGTTCATTCAAACAAAAACAGAACATGCAAGATAAAACTCAGCAACATCACCCAAAGAAGGAACACATCAGATTGGAAATGTTAACTCTCTGCATCTCTCCATAGATACTGATAGACCAAATGAGTTTCTCCAACACTTTCTACTTTTATTTTAGATCTCAAACATCCACAGTAGTTTGTTTTTATTAAAGCAATCAACTGAAACCTCAATCAGGGAGACAAGGGAGGGGCTTGCTGAGGCCCTAGCAGAGCTATTTAACATTTACTGGCCACAGGTGAAGTGCCAGATGACAGGAGGTCTATGTCCCTCCCTTATTAGACTGCCCAAAATTAATATGGTTCCTTTGTTCAAGAAGGGCAGCAGGATAGGCCAGGTAATGATAGACCAGTTAGTTTGATGTCAGTGATAGGGAAATTATAGGAAAAATTCTGAGGGACAGGATTAATCAGCACTTGGAAAGGCAGTGATTGAACAGAAAGAGCCAGCACAGAATTGTTAGAAGGAGATCCTGTCTGACTAATTTAATGGAGATTTTTGAACAGGTGACTAAATATATTGATAAGAGTTGTGCAGTTGATGTGGTTTACATGGACTCTGGTAAGGCCTTTGACAAGGTCCCACATGGAAGGCTGGTCCAAAAGGTAATAGTCCATGGGATGCCAAGCAAATTGGCAAAATTGGCTTAGAAATAGGAGGCAAACAGTGATGGTGAAGGATTGTTTTTGTGATTGGAAGCCCATGACCAGTGGTGTATCTCAGGGATAAGTGCTGGGACGCTTTCTATTTGTTACGTACATTAACAAATTGGATGTGAATGCAGAAGGTATAAGTGATAAGTTTGCAGATTGCCACAAAAATTAGTGGTGCTGTTGGTAGTGAGGAGGGTGGTCTCAGGCTACAGTCTGATATCAATCAGCTGGTAAATTAGGCAGCGCAAAGGATGATGGAATTTAAGCCTGATGAGTGTAAGGTGATGCATTTTGGGCAGTCTAGTAAGGGAGGGGCATACACAATGAATGGTAGGTCCCTATGGAGTACTGAGGAACAAAGGGACATTGATGTACAAGTCCATAGATCCCAGAAGGTGCCAGCACAGGTAGACAGGGCGGTAAAGAAGGATGCTTGTCTCATTAACCAGGGCACAGAATATAGGAGCAAAGAAATGTGGTTGCAACTTAATAAAATATTGGTTAGGCCACAGATGGAATGCTGTGTGCAGTTCTGGTCGGCACACTATCAGAAGGACATGATTGCACTGGAGAGGGTTGAGAGGAGATTCACCAGGATGTTGCCTGGGATGAAAAATCTCAGTTAAATGAAAAGAGACTGGATAGGCTGGGTTTGTTTTTCCTGGAGCAGAGGAAGGTGAGGGGGAATCTGATTGAGGTGTCCAAAATTATTTGAGGAATAGACAGAGTGGATTGTGAGAATCTCTTCCCCATGGCAGACATGTCTAAGACCAGAGGGCATAAGTTTAAGGTGAGGAGTATTTGGTTTCTTTCACCCAGAGAGTGGTAGAAATATGGAATATGCTGCCTGACAGGGTGGCTAAGGCAGATACTCTTACAATATTTAAGAAACATCTGGATGAATACTTAAAATGCCAGGCTATTGTAGGCTATGGACCTAGAGCAGGTAAATGGGATTGGTGTAGTTTGGTGTTTGTTGGTAAGTATAGACATGTTGGGCTGAAGGGCCTCTTTCTATGCTGTATAACTCTATGACTACTTCTGTTTTTTATACCAATGCTACATTTAATCTAGATTAATCTGTGACCAACAGTTAATTGAAACCATAAACAGATCTGTTGCAGCAATTACTTGATGCAATCATCAGTTAAATTTATCTAATTTTGTAATCTTCAAGCTTCAACTTCTGAACGATGATAAACTATGACTGATAAGGCTGCCCAATTACACTGATTTGAAGAGATTTTAGCTTAGGGTTTATGAAAATAATTTGGAGTGAAAATATAGGTATCAATTCACCTCTGCACTTTGGTATCACGCCCAGAATATTCCAGATAGGTTTTCCAAATGCACCCGTAGTGGAAACTCCAGGTTTTTACTTTCTGATCACAATGTCTCCAAAGGCATGAGCATGGGAAGAGGGACACTAAGACAAATGTTGCTGAGATGTCATAGTAAGAGGATTTTGATCAGAACACAGTTATATGTCCAACAACAATAGGTCATAAAGCATCTGACAAAGCTAAGACTCAACTACAATCAAGTAGCAGCATGCATTCCCCTCAGTATGTGATCTTTGAAACATGAATAATTGAAGTTAATGGGCAGACATATTATTGTCTCTAGCTCTTCAAATCTGTAATTACTGAGGATAAGAATTATACCCACCACACCATTCACCATTTTATGACCAGAAGCCTGCAGGTTACATCAAAATGTAACTCATCACTCTGCATCATGTGTGCATTTATTTTTGTGTTTGGTCAGTTAAAATGCTGGGAACTGGACTGGGACCTTCACCAGTTACTTTTATCAAGGAAAGATGAAATCATATACAGAGCAATCGATGCTTATCTTGCTGGTACTGGTTGCTAGGAAACCGTAATGCACTAGGGTTCCAAAAGGAACAGGATGTCTGACTTACTCCATTTCCTCGGTAGCCACTGTCTGGCTGTATTTGTCATGAGAGTACAGCAACACTGATGCAATCTGATCAGCTGAGGGCAAAGACAGTACAGTTAGAAATCTCTGAATGATTCAAAAGATACAGCATAGTGTTCAGGAACAAAACATTTCACACAACGAAGACTGAATGAAATATAATGTGTGCCGTCTAAAAGATGCACTCCAGCATTTTCCCAATGTTTCTCCACAGCAGTTCCCAAACCCTCAACTTCTGCCTTCTACAAATATAAAGGTAGCAGCACTTGGAAGCTTCCATCCAAGACAAGTGCCATCCCAACTTGTAATGATATCACCATTCTTTCATTGTCATTTGGTCAAAGCCCTAGCAGTCCTTTGGGCGTAACTTCATAGCATGGACTACATTGGTTGAAAAAGTTGGCTCACTATCACCTTCTCTTAAACATTTGGCTTACTAGCAATGTCTATGTCCCACGAGAGAACTAAAAAAGAATCCCACTGGTTCTTTCTTCGTACCTGTTACTTTTATCTTCTTCACGGTCTTGGTGGAATGGTTGGTCACCTCAACACTGACTTCAACTGGCTCACCATGGTAATAAATCTATAAAACAGTGCATTTCAAGTGAAGGCAATATTTTTCAAATACTATATTTTGGATCATTTAATTTATCCTCTATAACAATCTACAACCCTGCCTTCACCAATAGTGAATAATGCTAGAATTTTGTCTTCATTATTTCAGACAGAGTGCATTCCAGGCACTGATCCCTTCCCCTGTGACGAACTTGACATCCATCCTGAGTGTACATAATACCAGCTTGCAGCTGCACGTTTTCCTGCTACAGTCATGAGTTAACTTTCAATAATAAACTCAGGAATAATTGCTCTGCTTCTTTAAATGGTCTGTTGTCAATCTCTCATTTCCTTTGCTTCATTCTCACTTTCTTTTAATGATGCACTGAAAGTGGCGGTGTTACTCAGTCCTTCAATTCGAGGGTTTGGGGCAGGGATTTGATTTTAACGAGCAATAATCATTGTGTGTTTGAATGTCAGAGAGCAGGGAGCACGGGGTTGATTATGTTGGATGGAGGCCTGACCATTTTTGTAACATTTGGACATTACTTGACAGGCAGCTCCCAAGCAGGGTGACTGCTCCAGAGAGTTAAGCCAGAGATTTTAGTTTCAGTCAGTATTGTCAGTGTTCTGTCCCCTTTCTTCATCGGATTTAAAAATTGCTTCCAGATTTAAAGCAGAGGAACTACCTATACCTAAAACAAGTAGCTGATCCTTCAAATAATTTATATGTGTCCTTGCTGACTTGACTATTTTGCAGAAGACACAACTTTCATTCCAGAAATAGATCATACCCTATGGGCTTAAAAAGTGAGCAAATACATTGCCAGGACTGGAGCGTTTAAGTTATATGGAGAAGCTGGATAGGCTGGGACTTTTTTCACTGGAGTGTAGGATGTTAAGGGGTGACATTTAGAGGTTTATAAAATGATGAGGGATGTAAATAAGGTGAGTAGCAAAGGTCTTTTCCCTTGGGTGGGGGAGTTCAAAACTAAATGGCGTATTTTTAAAGGTGAGAGGAGAAAGAGTTAAAAGGGATGTGAGGAGAAACTTTCTCACATTTGTATGTGGAATGGATTGCTGAAGGAAGTGGTAGATGCAGGTACAGTTACAATATTTAAAAGACATTTGGACAGATACATGAATAGGAAAGGTTAGAGGGATATGGGCCAAATGCAGGCATGTGGGACTAGTACAGTTTGGGAAACTTGGTCGGCATGGACGAGTTGGACCGAAGGGTCTGTTTCTGTGCTGTATGATTCTATGACTCTATGTCTCCATATCTATTAACTTATCATGTCTGCGGTTCATCCCAAAGCAATTTGCAAGCTATTACTTTTCCATTGGTGTTATTTGCATAAATGTGGTAGCCAACTGACACACAGCAAACTTCCACAAACAGCAGACTCAGCTGAGAGTGAAATGGGGCTCAGAATACCAAAAGAGACTCCTACTGGTCTTTGAATACTATTGTGGGATCTTTTACATCTATGTGAGCAGGAAGGTGGAGCCTATCTCCAAACTGCTGGCCATTTAGTTAAGCAGGTTCTGTCATTTATAGACCTCCATTAGCCATCTCCATTTGTGAGGGTAGAACATGGTTTCCCAAACACTCACCTCTTTGTTAAGTGATGCTTCTAAGTGGAGAGGTTTATCTGACATGAGGAATTGTCTGGTAGTTTTAGCCACTGGCCGAAAAATTGGTTTATCAGGAGCATACTGTACCTTGCGGATAACCATGGACACGGAACTCCTGAGGGAAGAAAAATATTGGAAAGATGGATAATTACACTCAAATAGGTCGGGACTTTAGCAATGTAATCATATTTGAACTGGACTGCAACGGTCTGTGTTCTTTTAAAGCAATATGTTATGCAGATATCAGCCAATGCAGTACCCCTATGAGTGGATAGTTTGCATACATTTGCAATATGGATCTATTGTAGGAATTTATTGTGCCCACACATGTGCTTATCCATTACTTGTCTGTTCAAGTGGATGAGCTGGTTACATGCATTAGCAGACTGACTGTGTGCACACTGTCGTATTATAGAATAGATTCAAGAAAGGCAGTCCACCTTCAAGCCAGCTAGTTGATATCACAGCATGTGATGTTCCAGGATAAAGATTCTCATTTCACTTTCATTAATCATAGTGCAATAGAGTCAGCACAGCATGCAGTCAGTCTGTCAGCTGTGTTAGTGTTACTTTCATGTAATGTGTACTTACTGATGTTACTGTACAATCCAGACTATGTGTAAGTCTGAGACCTTGTGACAGTTTAAACAGTTCCTGTTGTTAATAAACTTCAAGACATCGATATCAACAGGAACTCAGTCTTTGTGGTAAATGTTACATCAGCTAACATGTAATGCAACATATAGACCACATCATATTGACAGTGGTGTTTGACCTAAGAAGCCACATCACACACTGTTATATTAATTGTCTCTGTGAGCCATCCCAGATCACTAAAGGGACCCTGAGAACAGTTACTTTCCACTTGATTATGTATCGGTTTATCATCCTCAAGAAGCAATGTCAATTCCTTTCCCAGTTCAGACAAATGTGCACTTACCTTTTAGAGATTTTCTCATCAATGCTGAGAGTCTTTGCACAGAATGCCAATATTTGAAAGTCCACCCCACAACACTGCAGACAAAGTAGAGAAACTCTCATAAGTCATACATATAATAGGATTGAAAAGTCATCATTCTATTGTTAAAACTTCCAATGGACAAAACTTACTCATTCTGAAGCTAAGCAATTGTACTGAATTCAACCAGTGAGTGTAAGCAGGACCTGTTTGCTTCCCCAACATGTCAGTCTCCAAGAACAAGGCAAAAGATGGTGGTTGGAGGAGAGTCAAGGGCAGGATAGCTGAAATTTCCAGCTGCATGAGGCTAGATGATAAGGTAGAGCAAATTCAGGCAATTGGCAGTAATGTTCTGATCTTTAAACATGTACTGCACACACAGTATTTGACCAACGTCGGCTACACTCTCATTCCCCTGAACAAAACCTGAGAATGGAGCATAATGGCCTAATGCTCCAACCCACTTCTCCTGGAGATCAAGCCAAATGAAAGGGTCCTTCACTGAAAGAAGGAAATAATGTGAGGGGAACAATCACACGCAATAGTTTGCATAGTGCAATCTTTTTGAAACTTAAAGAGTCTAACCACCTTCCTTCAACTTCTCCATGTGTTACAAAAAGAGACAAACCCTCGATGTAACAGGTCTGACATCCACCACCTGCCTCAACCACCAAATCCCATCACCTTTATCATCTACCTGGAAACAAAAGGAGTCCCATTAGCAAAGAAGGAAATCAGGGCCCTAAATATAACAATAAACCTCCTTCTTGTTGCCAATACACAATTAAGTCTATACCGACTGAACACAGTATATGTTGTAACAAAATCCTGAGCATAAAACAAAGGGCCTTCTGCTGGAGAAATCTTTAGCCATCTACCATTAAGTTCCAATTTCATCCGTCCCACTTTTATTCCCAAAGTCCCTATACTTCTCAAAAATAAGAAAAATCTTGCTGGGTAAGACTCCATTGATAGTACCTTCCCTCTAATACTTCAGTCAAGTGACCATTCCTCTGCGCAAACTGGGAAAGTTAACGTGCAAGGTTTCTCATCAGTAAACACTAATATGGACTTTCCATCAAACTTGCTGCTGAGCAAGGGAGCTAGACAATCTATTCCTTTCTTCTAAAACTGAGACCAATTGCAACAGCCTAAGCTGTACTTAACATAGATCTGGGATTAATCATCAACTGCCCTGGATAGTTTTACTTTACATGGTGCTTCTTTCCCAAGACGCCTTTAGGGAAAACCTGTGTCCTAACTGCAATGATTCATTATCTTGAGACTGGCAGTGTTTAGTTTGTAAGTAAATCAATTGAGTCAGCACATACGCATTCAACAAGACTTCTATAAAAAGTGTAGTGTTGAAGTGCTGAGTGAGAGAGCCTTATGTGATGTTGAGAGTCACTTTAGTTAGGTTTGAATATTCAGTGTTCCACTGGGTGGAGCTAGTCTCAGATACAAAGCTGCTTGTAGGTTAGCACCATCCAACCATTTCTGAATGTTATGATTACATGCTGATGGCTTAGTAGCAAATGGGCTGCCTCTGACCCGATGTAACAAGAGTGCATAAAGAATTGAAGGAGGCCTCCTTCCAAGCTTTGTCAGTGCTGTAGAGATAGGGTCTAATGAAGATAATGAGGTGTGGAGCTGGAGGAACACAGCAGGCCAGGCAGCATCAGAGGAGCAGGAAAGCTGACGTTTCGGGTCTGGACTGTTCTTCAGCAAATATGCACGCAAGTCTCTAGAAAAGCACTGTGACCTCAGTAGACATGGGCTAGAGGATTGAAAGAAGCGCAGCTCTATTGCTACAACCCTGTGTCAGAACACATAGACATTTTTCAAGTTTTATTTACAAAATGGGTTATTTTTATAATGATCACTCGTAGAGTTATAGAGATATACAGCTCGGAAACAGGTTCTTCGGTCCAACTCATCCATGCCGACCAGATATCCGAAATTAATCTAGTCCCATTTGCCAGCATTTGGCCCTTATCCCTCTAAGCCCTTTCTATATCACTGCCTACAAAAAGAACAAATCTGTGTATGTAAATTCATTGACTGTCTGGCAAAGTCCTTTATGGCTCATGGAATGTTGCACTTGTAAAACAGAGAGAATTTTTAAACAGGGAGAGGCTTAATAAGGATAGATAACAAGAGGGCTGACTACTCTCACTTTCAGCTGAAAGCCACATCTTTACCTTCCCAGAATATACAAAAAAGGGTTAAAAAACTCTCTGAAAGACTGGCCTGAGTATGTGTGCTTTGGCTGCACATTCCATTCATGGACTGGAGTGCTGTTAGGGTCACAGCTTTGAAAGCAGCCATTTTAAACACCCCTGCATTGCAGGTAAAAGAAAGAACATTCTGAGTGCTGGAATTCTGTCACTCATACCTTTATCATCTTAGACTCACCTTTTATTTCTCCTCTGGGTGTACCATTACAATCTAACATGGTCTGAAGGAATGCCCGAGACCAAATAGAATCAGGAAACAGGATATATTAATTTATGGTTTATTGGATGTGAATCAGTTAGATAAATATGGGGAGTTAGTAGTCAGTGGTGTATGAGCTTTATGGAGTATGGTTAACTTGAATAAAGGTCTGACGAAAAGTGTGGACTTAAACTTTGTTTATGCACAGTATCTTCTAATATACAACATGATTGTATGTTATGCTACTATGTCTGCTTGTATCTCATTACCACTGATGCTCAGTAGCAGCAAGATGTACCATCTACAAGATGCACTGCAGAAATTCATTAAAACCCCTTAGACATCACCTTACAAACCCCCAACCACTTCCATCAAGAAGGACAAAGGCAGCAGATATGAAAGAATACCACAACCTTCAACTTCTCTTTCCAAGTCCCTGACCATCCTGACTTGGAAATATTTCAGCATTCCTTCACTGTGAATGGGTCAAAATCCTGGAATTTCCACCCTAAATGGCATTGTGGGTCTAGCTACAGCACATGAACTGCAGCGGTTCAAGAAGTCAGCTTACCACCACCTTCCCAAGGGCAATGAGGAACAGGAAATAAATGCTGGCCAGATTGTAATGCCCGTGCCTCCCGAGTGAATAAAAGAAATTAGTAACTAATGAATTGTCTTTTTGTTAATTCAAGAAAAAATGGTTAAATTGGCTCTTTTTGAAACCTACTTTCACTTGGGTCTGGGAGAAAGTGATCCTGCAGGGAAAGGATCCTTTTTAAATGAACATTGTTGTGACCAGCTAAGGGAGTGGGCAAATAACCAAGAGAGCCAATTCTCACCTTCCTCATACAGGAATTTAATGGTTTGGAGTATCCCATGTGATACTGTAACAAATTAGGTCCCCTTACCCGAGTGCTGATTGTAACACTAGGCGGAGATGCCTGCTGACAAATGTTGTTAATAAGTACTGTTTAAGTAAACACTGAGGTTTGGCATGAGCTTATCTGAGGAGCAGAAGAACCTATACTAAAACAAGTGCTGCCCTGGCACCAGCTTCTAACACCCACTGGTAACCAATTTAAGGTGACTCCTGATCTGACCTTACCCTTTCATGGCTGTTCTTAAGGGAGATCTTACAATTTCACTTACAGCCTTATCAAACTTGTGTCGCTGAGTTTGATTTTTCTTTATTCGTTAATGGAATGAGGGCATCGCTGGCTTGGCAGCATTTATTGCCCAGAGATCAGTTAAGAGGCAATCACATTGCTGTGGGTCTGGAGTCACATGTAGGCCAGACCAGGTAAGGATGGCAGTTTCCTTTCTTGAAGGACATTAGTGAACCAGATGGGTTTTTCCCAACAATCAACAATGGATTCACAGTCATCATTAGACTCTTAATTCCAGAATTTATTGAATTCAAATTCCACCATGGCAGGATTTGAACCTGGGTCCCCAGAACGTTATCTGGGTCTGTGGATTAACAGTCCAGCGAATAATACCACTAGGCCATCGCCTTCCCTGCAAATGTGTATTCAGGTCCTGCCAATCTGGTCATTTGTCACTGCCTCAAAACCTCAAATTCTTTCAACATTTCATAGGTTAGTGTTATGGACAGAGGGTAGCAATATTTGGACTTGGTTTTTATACACTATCCATGGTTTCTGTACTGAGCCAGTGTTCTGGCTCCTTAAGATATCCATTCTTATTTGACAACCCTTAATCCCATGCATCACCTTAATGCTCTTACCTTGTCAATTTCATTGGGACCCAGCTGCAACGTTACAGAACAAGGTAGATAGTCTGGGAACTGTCAGAAGAAAAAGAGAAATCATTAACACTTTGAGTTGGGACCTCCTTTTGATGCAACACAACCAAAAGAAAAATAAGCTGCAATACACCAAATTCTCATTAGTGGATAGGGACATGGGCTTGCTGTGGATAATAAAAATAAAAGGGGATACCTGTCCAATGTAACTCTCCTATGGATTGCAAATGATCACACGATCAGACTGGACAAGTCTGGTGCCTACTGTACAATTGGTGTATCCCAATATCTTACAATGCCAAGGGTAGCTCCACAGTCAATCCCATACCTCCTGACAATTGTAATTGATGATTGAATGGGTGAAACAAATATAAAAGCATCTCTGTAAAGAAACATTTCTACTACTACTGTCTTACTCATGTGTACTTGCCAAAAATACCACCCTGCTTCAAGTGAGTGGCATGCTTTAATCAGCCAGTCCTATAATGGTTAATTTTACTTCAGTGCATAGCAGCAATTCTTTAAATATGGAAAAATTTACATAAGAAAATTTTTACATGACATTAAAGAAGCCATTCAGTACATTGTGTCCGTGCCATAGTGGAGTAGAGTTAACAGTCAATCACAGTTTTGGGATTGGGAGTCACATATAACACAAACTTTGTAAAGATAATGGATTTTATTTCCTGAAGGAATTACTGAATCAAATGGGTTTGTATCGCACTTTGGTAGTTCCATAGTTGCTATGCAAAAACTAACATTTTAGTCCAGAGACCGTTTACTTGAATATAAATTCCCCAGTTGTCATGGTGGGATTTCAACTCAGAATCATAGATTCCCTACAGTGTGGAAGCAGGCCATCAAGTCCACACTGACCCTCTGAAGAGCATCCCACCGATACCCAGACCCTGACCCGATCCTAGTAATCCTGCATTTTCCCATGGCTAATCCACCTAGCCTGCACATCCCTAAACACATGGACAATTTAGCATAGCTAATCCATCTAACCTATATATCTTTGGACTGGATCATGTCTGACTGTATGTCATGTCTCTGGATTATCAGTCTCTAATGATTAACTAGTCCAATCCCTAACAATTCTGCCAACGCACCCCCAGTTTATTGGCAGGCAGGAGTTGCATATGGCTCTGGCCACAGCTCAATTCATTTTAACAAAATTACAATTTTGAACCATTGTGGGAGACATTGAAGAATATATAATTGAAAAGTAGCAATGTCGGGTTATTACAAGTTTCACAAATAAACAGATGACTTGTTAGCTCTTCCCTAGTCACAAGGACAGCAGTGGCTCAATGATGCAGAACTGTAAATACCTGAAAGTTGAATGGATAAGCTTTATCTCCAAATTTCCTTGCCAAACGTTCCTGCAACTTGGTTTGGGGTTTAGGTTTTTCTCCTGACGGAGGTGGATAGACCTGCACAGTGGCCTCATGTAGGTCTCTTCTGAACTTCAACCCACAAACATCTATATCCTCACGTCCATAGCGGAATGCACAGAGCAATCTGCAAAACACTGAAAACAGTCCAGAAATGACACAGGGACAGCAAAGTTATTAACAGGACATGGGGACTACAAGGTCACATATATAGGTCAAAGGAGTGGGCAAAGATGGGAAATAGAGCATGATGCTGGAAAATGTGAAATGGTTCATTTTGACTGGAAAAGTAAAAATGAAGCATATTATCTAAAGGGGGAGAGATTGAAGAGCCTTGAGATGTAGAGGAATCTGAGTATCCAAGTGCATGAATCAGAAAAGATTAGTATGCAGGTACAGCAAGTAAGTCAGAAATTCAATCTGCTATTGTTTTTTTATTGTAGGGAGAATGAAATATACAGGGAATGGTGAGATTACACCTGGAGTACCGTGTAAAGTATCAGTCTCATATTGAAGGAAGCATGTAAATAAATTGGAAACAGTTCAGACAAGGCTTTATAGATTAATGGAATGGGTAAGTTGTCTTATAGGACAGATACAAGCTAGGCATGCATTTGCTGAAATTTAGAAGAGTAGGAGAGACTTGATTGAGAAACATATACACAGGCATCTTGACAAGGTGAGTATAGAAAGGATATCTCTTCTACTGGGAAAATCTAGAACTATGAATCACTGTTTCAAAATAAAGGGTTACCCATTTAACACAGAGATGAGGAGAAACCTTTTCACACAAATGGTTTTAAGTCTTTTGCAGTCCCTTCCTCAAAAGCCTGCAGAAGCAGACTCTAAGTATTTTAAGGCAGAAACAGTTATTTTTTATAAGCAAAGCAACTAAAGGTTATTGGGAGTAGGCAGGAATGAGGAATAATCGGATCAGCCACCATCTTATAGAGTAGCAGAACATCAAAGGGCAGAATGGCCTACTGCTGCTTCCAATTCATATGTTTGAATGAAATAATAGTGGCTAAAGGTCAGCAGTGAATAACACTCCATAGCGCTCTGCAACTTGTTTTACACCATATTTCATTTAACCTCCTGTACTGAAGGATTTCTCAGAGGAGTCATATATTCAGTTCAAATAGCTATTGCTTATTCCTTGGCTCATGGCAGATACATCAAGAATTCAGACCAATGCTTCCACTTCTTCATTTCAGCAATCCCATCAATTCTTTCCACTTGAGGGTCAACATCCCATTCATTTTTCAATTATTCCTGGCGCAGATGTAGCAATTTAAAACTGGACATTCATGAGGCACAGTGGGCCATCAGCAGCAGTATTGTAGTTGGCCACTATCGTAGTGTCATGGCATTGCATCTCCCTCAGTTTACCATTATCATCATGTTGGAAGACCAGGCCTTGTTCAATGGAGTGTGGAGGAGGGCATGCCAGGAGCAGCATCTTGCATACCTAGAAATGAAGTGTCAACCCAGTGAAGCTCCAACACAAGACTACTTGTGTGCAAAACAGCACCACAGCATACAATAGACAGAGAGGGCCAAGTGAACGCATAGCCTCTGAAGCTCATCAGTCATGCCACATCCAGTCGTGAACGGTGGTGGACAATTGAAAACTCACTGGAGAATGAGACTCCAAAAATACCCCCATTTTCAATGATGGGGGAGCGTAGAACATGAGCGCAAAAGATAACGCTGAAGTATTTTCACCCATCTTCAGCCAGAAGTGCCGAGTGGGTTATCCATCTGGGCCTCCTCTAAAGGTCTCCAGCATCATAGATGCCATAGTAGCAGAATTGTTATATTTCAGCCAATTCAATTCACCCCATGTGATATCAAGAAATGGTTGGAGGCATTTAATACTGCAAAGGCTATGGGCTCTGACAACTTTCCAGCAATAGTACTGAAAACTTGTGATCCTGTTACAGCTACATCACTGGCATATACCCAACAATGTAGTAAACTGCCCAAACCAACTTGGCGGATTACAGCTCCATCAGTCTAGTCTTGATCATCAGTAAAGTGATGGAAAGAGTCATTAACAGTGCTATCAAGTACCTACTCAGCAATAATTTGATCACTGATGCTCAGTTTGTGTTTTGCCAGGACTATTGAGCTCCTGACCTCATTACAGCCTGAGCCTACACATAACTGAGTTTGGTATTAAGAAGTCCCAACATAAACAGACAATGGGAATCAACAGGAAATGTCTTCACTGGTTGGTGTTACACCGAGCACAAAGGAAGATGGTTGTGGCTGTTGAAGGTCAATTTCTCAGCCCCAGGACATCACTACAGACAGTCCTCATAGGAGTGTCCTAGACTCAACCATTTCCATCTTCTCTCCATCATAGGATCAGAAGTGGGGATGTTCACTATGATTGCACAATGTTCAGCACCATTCATGACTGTTCAAATACTGGAGCAGTCCTTATCATACACAGGAACCTGGACAATATCCAGCTTTGGGCAGGTAAGTAGCAAGTAACATTTTTGCCCAGAGATGCCAGGCAATGGCCATCTCCAACAAGAAAGAAGTTAACCATTGCCTTTGATAGTCATTGGCATTACCAGCACTGAATCCTCACTATCTATGTCCTGGGGCCACTATTGGACAGAAATTGAACTGGACTGACCATTTAAATACAGTGGTTACAAGAGCAGGTTAGAGGTTAGAAATTCTGCAGTGACCAACTCACCTCCTGTCTCCATAGTGTCTGTTCATCATCCACAAGGCACAAGTCAGGAGTGTGATTGAACACTCTCTACTTGCCTGGATGAGTGCAGCTCCTGTATCACTGGAGAACTCGCCATCATTAGAATAATGTAGCCTTCTTGATTGTTACCCTTAACCAAAAGCTTAAACATTCACTTTCCTCACCATTGATGCTCAAAATCCACACTGTGTACCATCTACAAGACACATTGCAGAGATTCGCCAATGCTCTTTAAACAGCACCTATAATCTCATGACCATTTTCAACTAGAAAGGACAAGGGCAGCAAATACATGAGGTTGTCACCATGTGTAAGTCCCCCTCCAAGCTACACACCATCCTGATTTGGAATGATATCAATATTCCTTAGTTATCATTGGGTCAAAATCATCCCTTCTTAGTAGTTAATTCTACACCCCAAGGTCTGCAGTGGTTGGAGAAGGCAGCTCATGACCATCTTCTCTGGAGCAATTATAGATAGGCAGTAAATTGCTGGCCCTGCCAGCAACACCCACATCCTGTGAATCAGTAATAAAAATAGAATAATGATGGCATGGTTATTCCATCATCCACTGTCATTGGAAACGTGCCTTATGGAAGCTTTGGTGGATGTGGATTTAATGTGCAGCTTTTGGTCCTACAATGGAGTGATTTTTAAGAAGCCTTTTGGGACATGCTGTGATAGCTCTGGGGCAGGTATGACTTGAGCCGAGACCTTCTGGCTCAGAGGTAAGGAACTACCACTACACCACAATACCCTGGGACAAGCCTCAATCCATTGCTGTTTCAGGGAGAGCAAGAAAAACTATCACCTAGCCAAATAGCCTGTGAAAAGAAGAAGAGAGAAATGGAGAACAATGAGATAGCAAGGTAATTTATTTGAAATAAAACAGGAAATGCTGGAAATGATCAATAGATCTGGCTGCAACTGTGGATGGAAAAGGATTTGCCTCAGGTAACAACTTCAAAAATCACTTATACTTTTACTGTCTGTCAGCTCAAACAATTGGGCTGGTGGATTGGAATGCAAGAAACCTACCTTCAGTCTTGCAGAATTAGGCTGGCTCAAGCCTGAAGATTCTCAAGGGATATAAACTCAGCCGGCTCTGAGATTGAGCCCAGCCACTATACATCTAAATGAAGAGAGCCAAAAGATTGGCACTACTTGGCCAAGGCCTCATGTGTACTCCCAGGGTGGGCTGGTCATTCACTATGATGGACAGATCATCTGGTGAGAAATGGGAATTTGGAGACAATTACCACACAGCCGGTGGTCCCTAGTGAAAACACAGGAGAGGCTTGGAATGAACCATATAGAGCAAAGTATGACTGCAAATATGATCAGGAATGCTCCTCCTGGTTCCACTGAATGACTTTTAAAAAATCAACAAATTACAAGTTGCTGAAATATCTGCCCACTCTGCTGTCTGTTCTGCGGATCAAAAACTAATTACAGCTATGGCTTCTTCAACAGTTCATATTTTCCAAGAGCCTTAAATTTGTTTACAGCATCCATCTTGGATCATAAAAAATGGGCTTCGGGAATTTAACAGTGTTAAAAATAATCGTGGAAGTTGGGTGCAGAGCGTTCCATTAAAAAATTGGCATGGTTGGCACCTGTTTTGCAACCTTGAAATGAGAACACCACATAGCAACCAGTGTCCGTCCCAACACTTTGATAGTGTTAAGCAAAAAGAGAAACTCAGCAGGTCTGGCAACATCTTAGGAGAGCAAACAGTGTTAGCATTTCAGGTCTATTGAACCTTCTTTAGGGTTTCTCCAGTAATTTCTGTTTTTCTTTCAGATTTTCAACATCCGCTGTTCTTTGTTTTATTCAATTCACTTACATATGTGAAGATATATGTGCTGCACATGCAGGGGACATGGTCTTTACATACATGCGCATGGGCCATTATGTGTACATTTGAGCAGGTTACACAAGGCTATCAATTTGTTATTCGAAGTCAAATGAAATGGGCGAGAGTGAATCAGTAACTTTTTATTTTACACAACCTGATCACATATTTAATTGACCAATAAAGCTTCAGCGTTTGAGGACACAGTGAATGTCAGGGTACAGTGTGAGTGATGTTCAGGGTCAGTGTGTGTGAGGGTCAATGCACGTGTGAGGACTCTGTACATATGAAGGCCAGTTTGTACAGGTTTCAGTGAATGTATGAGTCTGTGGTATAGGTGTGACTGTTCTGAGTGTTTGTGAAGTTTTGTGTCTCAGAGGTTCAGTGTTTATGAAGCATAACCTGTACTGAAAATGCAAAGTGTTTTATTTTTGATCAAAAATATTATTTTAACCCTTAAGTAATTAATATCAGTTGATCTCATTTCTCTGGACATACAGCCTACAGAAAGGCAAGAATCTGAGCAGATAGTTGAGGCAATCATTTTGTTCAATATTACAGAGGGATTTCTCACCTTTTTTATCCTTAATGTAGCCAGTGTCCAATACAAGCACACCTTCTGCAGATAAATCAGATTAGATCAGTTACTGCAACCAGACTTGAACATAAGGTTTGGTTTTTCCAACAACAGCTTTCCCATTAACCAGCTCAGGTTGCTGTGGTTCATCCAGTTCAGTCCCAGATCCCCTATCAAACAGCCCAGAGATACTCTGTAAATCATTCTGCACCAGCCCTAGGGCTTCTCCTTAGCACTACGATTCTGGGTGGAATCAGTACCAACCCTCCCATTCACCAGTTTTGGAGTGTTATGTGTTATGACACTAACTGCCAATACTGCCAACAATCTGTCCTGGACGTTGTGTGGTATCGGAGATACGCTGTTATTGGAGTTGGATTACACTGGATGGATTTTATTGGGGGTGGATTAAACTGGAGAAGTTTTGTATTTTGGGGAGAATGTTGTTCATTACAGGGTTACTTCTGGCACAACGTACAAACGCCCCCAAGGGGCAGGCAGTTACCTGTGCAGGTTTCCTTGATCAAATCAATGAATAACCCAGTGTGGGTGGCAGACGTCTCATTTGGTGGCATGTATCCCTCTGGAATTGACATCAAGTCCACGGCGCATTGGTAAAAGAAGAGCTAAATAAACACATTTCTGAAGAAGGGTCCAGGCCCGAAACGTCAGCCTTCCTGCTCCTCTGATGCTGCTTGGCCTGCTGTGTTCATCCAGCTCTACATCTTGTTATCTCAGATTCTCCAGCATCTGCAGTACCTACTATCTCTGAAACATTTCTCTCCCAGATCTATTTGATAGATTTGAGAGATGTATTAGTGAGGAAATATGCCAATCAAGATCTATAATGTTGTGGATGAATTACATTGGGGATAAGTTTCTTTGGAGATAGATTAAATTGGGAATGAATTCTAAAGGAACCATATTATATTGGGTGCGTTATATAGATCTATTTTCTTAGAATTATTGTATTTCCATATTTTCAGATTGGATTCTATTGGAGATGGAAGTCTTGTAGCACAGTGGGTAGCATCACAGCCTCACAGCTAGGAGCTCCAGGTATGAGTACCTCTCCAGTACTTGATCGCCATGGAAGGTACATTCATAACATGACCAAAATCCTTCTGATGCCCCTATGGCACGTACTAAGAGTGGTGGAATATTCAGGTCTGGCATGTTTGATGAGGACTGGTTGCTTCAAGCTATAGCCTCTGGCAATAGGCTAGCAATCTAACCAAGGAAAATCTATCTGTGGAGAGAGATACTGGGGATGTGATTTGCGTATGACCAGGCATGGGAGGCTCTCAGGGTATGTTGTAGATTCTGCAAAGGGGTTATAGTGGAAATATATTGTATTGTAGGTGGATTGTGTTGAGGATTGTTAATACTTGCAAATATGTTGAATTATATTGTATTGGGAATTTACTGTTGTTGTACGTTATTTTGTTATTATAAAGTTGCATTTCTGAACTGCCAATGGCAGCAGTCATTTCCTGATCTTTGTTCAGAAAGTGTATTTCACAACAAATTTTTTCCTCAGGTATCCATTTCTGAACATCTGTTATTTTTGGAATTTTAGTGGAAACAGCAGGTTGATTTTTTGAGAAGATATAAATGCCGATAGCTCTGTTTGTAACACTCAGCTTCATGATGTAAATCTCATGTCTCAGCAGCACTTTGTGGCTCTGCCTCCTATCTTTAGTACCACTGTAGTATCTCCATAATAAAACTGATGAGTTTGACAGCAATGTTGATTTGACTGATGGTCCAAAAACCCTCTTTGTATCATGAAAACAGTCCATGGCTTTCTGCACTTTGCTGTCCACTCTATGCTGATCCTATCTGCTTTCCGTCTCATGGCTATAATGACATTTCTAAATATCATTATATACAGTCTTTTCTTTAACAATCAAGAATGAAGAAGTTGTTGTAAGCTCTTTCTAATGCCAGCTTACAAACACTTAACTGAAAAACTACGATGTATGCCGAGCAATTTTATGTGAAGTAAATATTTGTTAACATGAAGAAACATACATGTACCTAAAAACACCCAGACAATTGTCCCTACAGTGGAAAAAAGAACTAAGATTTTAATGGAGACAAAGTGTACAATCTCTCAGTGTTGAGAAACAGGTCTTCTTTCAGAACATGTACTTACCAACAGGATCAGTGTGGGTGACATGATCCACAAAGTCCCTTTTGCCCAAGTAGACAGCAATCTGTGAAAGTGGTGATAAAACAGTGTTTGGACAATTTGAGACTGAGATGGTCATTACATATTAGATTCTCTGTCTGCCACAACAATAAGCTGTGCTTCCATGTAACATAATTTTGTCTTGTAGAGTTATTCATGACCTAAAGTTAAGATGCGCTTAGTTCTAAAATAAAGTCCTTGCAATTTATAAAAACAAAAAGAAAGAAAGAGGAAAAGAAAGAAAGAGAGAAAGGAAGAAGAGTTTTATAGTGCTTACACAATCTCAAGATATCAAGATATCAATCATTTTGCGGCCAATAAAGTTATTTTTTAAAAATGGTTTTAATGTAGGGACTCATGACAACCAATTTTCACCAAAATAAAGTTCCATAAAAGCAAAATGATTAACTTCCTGTGATGATGTGTTTACGGGAAAAAAGTTGGCCAGGAGAACTCACTTTCCTTTTCCTTTAATGGTGTCATGAAATAGTTTACATCTATCAGAAAAGTTGAAAAGGATCATTTTTTAATATTTAATCTGAAAATCAGCACCTCCAACATTGTACAACTCCCTCAAGGCTGTGGTGCTTTGTATTCAGGAGACCGTTTGGATTAAGGCCTTAAGCCCTTTAGTGAGACTTGTGTTATAGAAGATAATGATTCTGAAAGAGTTAACACTAAAGTTGGTTCAGCTCCATGTCATGTGACCCACAGTCTTTGTGTGGAGACAAGAGCCCATATATGGAGCAGATAAATTCTGCATAGTTCCCAAAAGTCTTTAGTAATTATGGCTGACTCCTAATTGCTATCATACAATAAACCATCCTGTTATCTGAGAAAAGTGGCTCCTTTGTAACGATTTTATATTGGTGTATTCTCTACCGCTGATCATTAGATAAGCCCTAGACAAAGGAGAATTGGAAGTAGTGAATAACCTCAAAGGCCTGAATCAAGTTGGTAGCAGTCAAGAAATGCAAAGCTGGTTATATGATGTGGTTTGCATTACTCAAGTCTGCTAACAAACGGGTTACAATTCTGTTTCCTCTGTTGGCCTGAAGCCAGTAAATGAAGAAGGACGCTAAATGTATTCTTTTTAAGCAGCAGTCGGATAACCTGCAATGTTTTTTCAAGTTTGACTCAGATCCTCATTTTCTAACCCATCTGGTTCAGAAGTGTGAGAAATCAGATCAAGCACATTCCCGAATATCTTTCTCCAAGGATCTCGCTAATTCATGGATTTTGCTTGGATCTTAACTTGCAGCTGTTGTAAGGAATGAGCAATTAGAACATACAGTTACCGTCATTGCATTTGGACTAATTTCAAGGAAGTGGCATGATCACTGGCCCTGTCTGGATTAAAATTTTTAGAATGTATCCTTGTTTCTAGATGAAAGTGAGTGTGTTGTGAATGGCCCCTCTTCATATCCCAATTTGCCTGGTGTTTAATGCACCTTAATGTGATATAATGATACAGGATTGATTTCTATCCCTCTTTCAGTTTACAAACCACCATCTGAGAGATTGATCTTTGAATGTAAAGATATGTCCATTTTCATACAAATCACACATTGACTTGTAAAGGTGCAGATCAATGGATGATCACTGAATGAAAGTGTCAAGTAAAGGAAGAAAGCTTTTTTTACTGGCACCTTTCATGACCAGAGAATGTCCTGCAATGCTGCTTATCGAGTACTTTTTTGAGGTCTTGCAATTTTTGAAAAGTACAATGCCTATTTGTGCATAGTAAGATCCCACACATAGCATTGTGCCAATGATCAGATAGCCTCTTATTTGTTTGAGAAATTGGGGGATATATTTTGCCAGAAATCTGTGGATAACTCCAATGCTCTTCTTCAAATAGGGGGATCTTTAATATCTAAATTGGGTTCTATATCTATAAATATCTAAATGAGGCCTGGGTTAATGCCTCATCTGAAAGCCTGCATTGTTGGCAGTACGGCACCGCTTAGGGCTGTATCATATGTCGATACGGGGACCTGGTATAGGAGCAACGAGTCATGTTTATCCAGAATGCTTACGGCTTTATCATCTATTTTAATCACACATAGCTATCTGCAGACTGAGGTACGGGTCTGGAGTATATCAGGCTTTGGATGTTTACAGACACACTCTCCTTGAGGTTGATTGCTTCTTAAAGTCCTTTCAATTCCTTACATACTGTAGCACTTGTACACTTGTATTTGCATTTGTACATCGATTATCAAATGCAGAATTCTAGTGTCTAAGGCCTTCACTTGCTCAGTCTAGACTGGTATCTTCTCTGTTACTGATGTTAGAGACATGATCAATTAAAGCATCATGATTTACATGCATATCATTATACCACACTGAAGCAATGATTTATTATTAACATCTTTTCCAGCGATTTCTATTTTTGAATTGATTATTGAGCATCAATACCAGTACGTTACACTGGAATGATATTTTGTCTATGCTGCTAGCCTGGGATCTGTGCAGTTTGCATATTGCAAAGCAACAGAAGGAATGCAATCTCATCTGCACAGCCGGCATAGCACATCAAACTGCTCACACAGCCTGAGTTGACAACACATCTAGAAGGCGTTACTGTGGCATTGGAGTCTTCAATGAAATATAGAGGCAAGACATCAGGTCTGAGAGGAGGGAAAGAGAAAGTAAGAGAGGAAATGTGAAAGCTGAGAGGGGGTTCACATACCGATTTATCAGATGTTGTCTTTTTGAAAACAATGTTTTTGGGACCTGGAGTTGATGGGTTCATCTTGACAACAACAATGCTGGGAGCAGGGGTCTTCTGGATCTGGGGCACATTCATCTTTTCAGGTATGTGATAATGCAATGAGGCTGAGAAACGAGCAAGTAAAAAAATCACAATTAAATAGCGGCATCTTCTCAACATAACATTATCCTGTTAAAAGAAACTTCCCTTTAAACAAATTAAAGCCAAGCTAGTGGCAATGCTAATGAGCAAGTATTTGACTTATTCCCACATCAAAAATTGCTGAAATGATGGAGAAGTAATTTGGTAAATGACTGAAGACTGAAGGTGGTTGGAGGTCTTCATGTGGCCAATTAATGATCATCTAAGGCCTCCTCTTGCCACCACATGTACTCTACCAATGGAAAACCCTAACAGGCAGACAGCAGTCTTACAGGGACCCATTCCCCCATTGGAAAGGACTTGCCTGGTTTAGTTGGCGTGCCAGTCTCCTGATTGCTACGCTTGCTGACTGATCCCAAAATATGCATATCTCACCCACCTACGTCCCTGCCCTCCATCGCTGCCCTGGTTGAAGTTTGGCATCAGTCACAGCAGTGCCCGCTGTGCCTGTTAGTGGAAAAATTCTGTCGGGTTCTATTCCTCTACCTCTTAAATATTTCAAAAGATCTCCAGTAGGTAATTTATCAGCCTTCCCCTTTGAAGAAAGAGGAGATGCAGTCTGCTCATTGTCTCTTGCTTATGAATCTTTTTTACATTCACTCCAGTACAACCATCTTTCTGATGTTGTGACCAGAACTGCACATGATACTAAAAGTGTTGTCCATTCAATAAAAGTTTAGAACGACTTTTCTATGTTCCAATTCAATCCCTTTGGAAATAGATCCTATTTTTCCTGATTTACTTTTTTAATGACCTAACCAATGCCACTATTTTGAAAGAGTTGTGCCTTTATACTCCCAGATCCCTCTGCTACCCTATCCCATGAGATATTATTTTCTAAATTCTGTGTGACTCTTTTTCGCTAAAATGTAATGCCTTACAGTTATTTGAATTGAAATTCATCTGCCAAATACATGCCCATTATACGAGTTTATTCATATTTTCTTGCAATTTGTTGCAGTCCTGTCTAGTACTGACTGCCCACTCACTAATTTGGTATCATTTACAAATTGAGAAATCATGTTTTGATTCCAGAGTATGAATCGATACTATAAACTGTGATCAATGGTGGTCCCAGCACTGATTCTTCTAGGATCCAATTCCCATCTACTGTCACTCTAAATAACCTTTACTCTCCCATCCGGTTTCTGTTTATTACAAGCAGCTGGCTATCCTGTATAGCACTGCAGGATTCACCAGTCAGTCTGACAAAGTACTAGGAATGAATGCCCCTCTCTTTCTTTAAGGTTTTCCTTAAAACCTACCTCTTTGAACAAGATTTTGGTCCCCTAACCTAATAGTGCCTTTTGTAGGTTGGTATCAAATTTTGTTTGATAATGTTCCTGTGAAGCACCTAGGGTTGTTGTACTAAAGGTGCTATAGAATAAAAGTTGTTGTTATCATAGTCAGTGATTGTCTCCAGGAATTTTAACCCTTGGGGGTCTTCATAATGAACCGAGTTCCTCCTATAAAAGTTCTGCCCTGCCTCGAGTTGGACTCTACATTTTTCAGAACTGCATGGTGATAACTCAGAATAAAATTATCTGTTTCTGCTCACAGACTCAAAGAACCTTTCAACGATTTCATCACTCTTTAAAGACCTGGCAGGAACAAAGAAAGTCCTGAAGAGATCTGACAGGATGGAAGCTAAAAGGATTTTTCTCTTGTGGGGAGAATAGAACTAGAGGACATGGTTTAAAAATAAGGGGCCTTCATTTAAGATGGAGATGCAGAGAGATCTTTTCACTCAGAGGTTCGTGATTCTGAGGAAACTGGGTCTTTGAATATTTTTAAGGCACAGGTGAATAAATTCTTGACCAATGAAGGAGTCACAGGATTTCAGGAGTAGACAGGAAAGTAGAGTGAGGCTACAATCAGATCAGCCATGATCTTATTGAAGGGCAGATCAGGTGTGGGAGGCCTAATGACATACTCCTGCTACTAATGTGTATGTTCATATGTTTATATAGCTGTTGCCATTTGTAAGCAGAATGAAACATCGAAGACATTTGCAAATAAACTTTATTTATAAAATTGGAGTTCTTTAGGAATGTTGGAGCTTTGTGAAAGTACTCAACTGAAGTTGCGCTTAGAGAGATGCATATGGGAGTTAAGATCCTGAAACTGGTAGTGTCACATTAAATCGATAATAACTTGCTTTAACTTGTTGAATTTGATTTTGTATTCTCTCATGGGATGTTGGTGTCACTGGCTGGGTCAGTATTTTTTGCCCGACCCTAGTTGCCCTTGAGAAGGTGGTGGTGAGCGGTTTTCTTGAACACTTCATGTGCTATAGGTAGACCCACAATTCCCTGAGGGAGGGAATTTCAGGATTTTTGACCCACCTATAGTGAAAGAACAGCAATGTATTTCTGAGTCAGGATGGTGAGTGATTTGGATGGGAACTTGCCCCATGTTTCAACTGCCTTTGTCCTTCTAGATGGAAGTGGTCATGGGTTTGGAAGGTTCTGTCCAAGGATCTTTGGTGAATTTTTGCAATGCATCAAGTAGATAGTACACGCTCCTGGTATTGGATGTCAGTAGTGGATGGACTGGATGCTTTTGAATGTGGCACCAAACAAGGGGGCTGGATGGTGCCAAGCTTCTTGAGTGTTGTTGGAGCTGCACCCATCCAGGCAAGTGGGGAGTGTTCCACCCTATTTCTGACTTGTGCCTTTTAGGTAGAGGACAGGCTCTGGGGAGTCAAGAGGTGATTTAGCTGCTGCAATATTCCTAGACTCTGATTTACGTTGTAACTATTGCGTTTATATGGCAAGTCCAGTTGAGTGTCTGGTCGAATGGTAACCCCCAGAATATTAATGGGATGGTGTTGGATTTAAGTGATGTTAATGCCATTGAAGGTCATGGGGTGGTTGTTAGATTGTCTGTTATTGGAGATGCCCATTGCCTGGCATTTCTGTGGCGTGGATATTACTTGCCATTTGTCAGCCCAAGCCTGCATATTGTCCAGGTCCTGATATATTTGAACATGGACTGCTTCAGTATCTGAGGAGTTGTAGTGGTGCTGAATATTGTGTAATCATTGACGAGCATCCCCACTTTTGACCTTATGATGGAAGGAAAATCATTGATTAAGCAGCTAAAGATGGTTGGACCTAGGACACTACCCTGAGGAACTCATGCAAAGATGTCCTGGAGCTCAGATGACTGACGTCCAACAACCACAACCACATAAGGCATTCAACTACATAAGACAGTTTCTGATTCCTTTATCACAGTTTTGAACTTCAAAGGATATGGGATAATTATTCAATAAAGTGTGTTAACATCCACAGTAGGGTAATATTGTGTTGTTGTAGCAGAGTTATGGTGTGGTGCTGCACATACACAGGGATATCATTGTAATATTATTGTTGAACAGGATTTTTTTTAGATATTGATATAATAGCTGAGGTTACACCAACCACTTTCTCAGACTGACTGGCAAATTCTGTGATGTTCATAACTCTCTAAAACTTCTTCAGCCTCAGAATCACAACCTTCTAGGACATGGCACAAAATTCTAGAAGGTAGCACAACATTCGACACTACAAATCAAAGCATTCTAAAAACGGTACAGCACTGTATAGCACAGGAAATTTTAAGAGTAAGCTCATTGCATCTAGGAAACCTTTTTATGAAGTAAGTCAACCAACCAGCCAATCTTATTGTTGTTACCTTCAGCCTCATTTATCTACTACTGCATCAGGTTCATCAACGTTACATTCTCAGCAGATTCAGTAGTGTTACCAGTTCACCCTCTTACCCAATCGTACAGTCTTCTCTCTCTAAAGGAATGCAAATGTATCTCTTCTGATCCAACTTAAATGCTTTGATATTCTTCCCTGGGGATTTATTTCATAATTCAATGATTTTTTTGGGTGATGACATTTCCCCAATTCTTCTTTGAGATCGGAGCTTCACTTTCCCTAGAATCTCAAACCCTTGTTCCAGGGAACAGTTTTCCAAAATCAAGTTAGTTAATTCCTTTAATATTGCTGAAAAGTTGGCTGGATTTCTTTTCTGATTTGATTAACCTTGGAATATAAATTATGGTAAAAATTGCATTCCCTGCACTTTTCACACAAAAATTGCTGGAATAGGCTAGTACAGGCACTATATTTGATAAACATTCAAACTTAAAGGATTAAACCTCATTTCATTATTTTAAAAATAATTTTTCTGCTTTCTTGCTATGAGATAAGCAGATTGCACAGACAGAGAAAGATCATTTAATCCTGTGCACTATAACAATACTCATCTTCCAGTTTACCCATCAGTCTGACTTAACACAGAACAGATAACAAGTAGAGTACGTTAAACAGCCAACCTCTGCCAGAAACTGAAAGAAGAACAAATGCTTCGACAGAAGAATCTCTTGATAATTCCTTTCTTTCTTCAGATGTATTAGTCAGTGAGAGAGTGAGCCTTTGTCGTCTTAGAATGGGACAACTGAAATGCTGAATAGTGCAGGTCACCAATTGTACAAATTAGTCGTCATCACGTGTCCCTATCTATGCGGATTAATGGGTGTGATAAGGAGGCAACATAAGAACAGCAAATCCTGCCCAAGGTTATACAACACCACATTATAAATCTTCTTTTAATAATATTTTAATTGTCTTATTGTATGCAAAGGGGGATTGACTGCCGTCCCTCCACTAATTTCTGCGCAGAATGTGTTGGGGAGGAAGGACCCATTTTCCGAACTATTAGTGACCTTCACTATTGCCTTGTAATAATGTGCAGGTCACCAACAGGTTTCCTAATCCACCTAGTCTGTTAGTACTTCATCTCTCCGTCCTAGTTTAGTCTGACCGATCATTAGCCATTGCTCAAATGAATGGTCTTGGTCACTATCCATTCAGGCTTCTTAGACTTTTAAGTAGATGTTTCAGAATAGCAAGCAACAACATTCATGATATTCTTTCTGT